CACTCTGCATTTTATTGGCTGCTGGACTGTGGAGTTTAGTTAAATTGGTTTTAATTCTTTGAAGGATTAAAGCCAACTGGTTGCTATTAGAATGATTTGCTTGAGGTGCAGCTGATTGGTAGTAACTAATGGGGTGGATGTTCTATTGAGGTTTTATGATTGGCAGCATGGGGCATGTTGTGCAGTACTGGAAACTCCCCAACTGCAGCTTGGTTTCATGCTGTGCTTTGGAGTTTTACATAATTTGCTGATGTCTGATGTTAGAACTATGGTGTGGGATGTTACTTCATGTTTGAGGTTTATATGCTTCATGTTTGATTAGGCTTAATCATTCACTTCAATGAATTACTATATGAACAACTATATGGTATATGTAAATAATATGATCAGGCTTGTACAATATGAACTACTATATGGTATCTGTAAATAATATGTTTTATATGACATATACAAGTTACTATTTTATCTTCCTTTTTATATTTGTTGAAATGTCGTAATTGATTTGCAATATTCTGTGTATGTTCAATAGCTTTCATCCATTACCTGCTAGCTGGTTCAAGCAATTCTACCTGGTTCAAGAATGACATTTTTAAGCACAACAACAAGCAATGAAGAGTTAAGATATCGTAATATGTATTGCCCCATTTGTAGCAAAAGAGCGATTATCAAAATTTTTGAATCTGAAAAAAATCCTGGGAAGTTATACTGCAAATGTCTAGACGATTCCAGTCACTTTTTTAAGTGGATGACTCCTATTACTCTCCCCTCCTCGGAAATTAGAAATGAAAGGATGGATGTACGACTAATTGAACACAATGTAATGACATTGAAGTCAAATATGTTTGTAGTCACGTTACTAGTGGTGATTATTATATTTGTAATTCTAGTGAAGTAGATCTATAAGAGCAATGATGTACTGATGAAACTTATGTTGTAAATGAAATTATGCGTTTAATTTGAATGAAATTGTGGATTGTGTATATTGTTGTGAGTTGGAAGATCATATTCATCAATAAAGATCACATTCATTAAAAATATAATATTCATCAAAAAAAGATCACATTCATTATAAAAAGATCACATTCATCAAAATAATATCACATTCATAAAAAAATATCACATTCATTAAAAATACAGCAAACATCCTTACTACTGCTAGTAGACTCATTAAAAATAAATAGTTTTCAACAAAATGATCCAACTAAAAGAAATGGTTCATTAAATGATCCAACAAGCAACTAGTAGCCTCCGTCTGCATCTTTATAACTGTTGATCCTCCAAGCATCCTTACAAGTTGAATCCCCCATCAATGAAAAATGATTCAACATCATTTAAAGAATGCACATGTGTTGAATTAGTCAGAGTACCCTACATTAATGAGAAGGAGTCAGACAAAGAAACTTGATATATATGTCAAACAATAAAATTAACAATATGGTAATATACCATAACACTTTGTACACTATTTGAAACTTGAGAAAACATCGAATGACCATATGCTAATGTACACGGGTGACTGAAATACTTACAATTATGAAGTGAATAAAAATATGAAGTAAATTAAAAAAATCTACAATTATATTTATACGATACCATAGGCATATGTGATGGTCGGAAAGCTCCTTTTTTTCTCTTTATTGCTTTCTCATGCCAAGATTTTAGTCGACCCCAACCCTTGTAACCCCCTTCTTTTCTTTTTAAACCTTTAACTTGGAGAAAATTTGTGTCAACATTATCTATTCCACTTGGGTATACATTTTCATGGATTGAATCATCGCCACCATCACCAATTGATGCATACATACTATCCACTTATTTGAACAAATCCTCAATACCACGTGACACCAATTGATATGCAGGTTGAAGACCAGAGCATCGAGCAGCAAGTTGTATCACTCTAGGACAAAACTACCTATAACGTGATGCCACAATTAGCTTGAGATTCTCTTCATTTGACATTAAAATGAGGGTTGTCCTACAACTCTTTTTCGCATCTCATCTTCATCTCTTACATATGTATTGCTCGAGAATTTGCTTAATATTCATCATGTCCAAGACTTTAAGTGCATGACCACATAATATTCCCTCCATTTCAAACTTCCGACAACTGCAATTAACTATCTCTTCATTAACCTTAACCACAACCAAATACTTTCTATGTTTATCATATAATCAAACCACAAATTGATGTCACCCATACGACACATCACAAGGTGTCGCAATAGCACACTGAAATAAATCATACTCCTCTTGGAATAGGTCAAACATAGTAGGAGTGTACAATTGCCCTGCTTGCACTAACATTGGAGCTCTTTTCAACTTCAATCTAGGTAATTTTTGCCTAGCTTGGTATTCTGAGTGTGACTCCTTATACCACTTATCATTCACAACTCTTTCAAAATGTAGAACTGAACAATGTCATGGTCTGGCTTTAAGTACTTCCGTAAAGCTGCATTCAAGCTCTCACTCAATTGGGTGCTTCTCATTCCTGCAGTTAAAGTCCTCTTCATATACACATGCCCTCATTTCTCTTGCAATGCTCAAATGACTTTCATCCACATATTATCATGCAAATTATATTCCGCAAGCAACGATTCTCAAGCCTCAAATAATTCATGTTTTTCCTCATGTCCATACACACACTCTTTAAATCAAACAAGAAATTGTGAACCATCCTTATATATGTTCTCCAAATGTTTCAAAGTATTTTGACAAAGGTGCTAAGTACATAATCCATAGTATGTCTCTGGCATGACTATAGAAATAGCCTTAGCCATCGCTTGATCTTGGTCGATGAAGATGGTAATAGGATATTTCACAGACATAACTTGTAGGAATGTCTCAAATAACCACTGAAATGATGCTGCTGTTTCATCATACAATAATGCAGCTCCAAATAAGACTGTCTCCCTGAAATGATTGAAGCCAGTAAAACAAACAAATGGTCGATACTTCTTGTTCGTTTCTGAAAGTAGTGTCAAATGAGACAACATCTCCAAAGTTGCCATAGTCAATAATTATCACTAGGTCCGCCCAAAAAATATTAGTAATATACTCCTCCGCATCCAATTGCACTCCATAATAGAATGATGGATTTTTCACTGCTTCCGTTTGAAAATACTTCAACAAACTACCCGTCTCACTGTACCCCAAGTCTCGTTGCCTCATTTCATGAAGGTAATTCTTTTGGTCTTAACGAGTAAAACCAAAACTTTCTTTTCCTCCAGACTGAGTACTTAAAAGATCATAGAAAGTTTTAAGTGACAATCCACAATCTGTTGTCATATCAATATTAATGTCTTGTGCTGCGGTAACCCTCCGTTGGAATGACATCATATGCATACATTCAACAAGATGCAAAAGATAGTTGTGGTTGTCATCTCACTTCACCACAAGAAATTTACCAATTTCTCTATTAAGAGATATGCACATATGAGCTTGACAATTTGTTTTTATCTTTGCTCGAGGCTTCCTTATTTGACACTTTCTTTTATCACAACCTTGTTTATAACAAATATATTTTCTGTAAATGACAATGTCATCTTTCAAACTTTTATTCTGAAAATCTTTCCTCACGCTAAATCCCACAGACCCTCCATAACTATTGTAAAACGCATAAGCATCTTCCTCCGCATCAATTTGCATACCAATATGAGGTATATTATCAGTCGCATTAACTCCCAAATCATCTATCATAGTATCCTACAATAAGAAATTTGATTGAAATGACATTAAATGGAACTTGCAGTCATAGATGGAACTGGATGTCATGTACATAAGGTTACATAATTCTTAAGAAAAAAAATCATGTCTAAGATAACAGTTCTTTCCAAACAGAATAAGTAGTGGCAGGAACTCTTTTTTCTTTTCATTGTTGGGTCGTGTCATCATGTTTGTGTTTTGAATCATTTAAATTATGTTTTTTTTTCCAAAATTTGTATAATTTAGATGACACTATTACAGTTCTATTTCAATGACAAAGATTCCCGACTCGAGCAATCCAAGAAAAATCAATAAAAGTGACATAAAAGATTGATCGTTCACTTTGAAATTAGAAAAATTTATAAAAAATAAATCCCCACAATTTGAGTAATCAAGTTTTGGATCAATTTGCATACACAATGATGCAGTCATAATTGGATACAAAAGTCATGTTAACCTAGAGCAGGGTAAAAATCATAATCCAACTGTTCTCCCATGTTCCTAAATTCTGACAGAAGAGTGGAGAGTACTGATTTAGATACAATTTGTTATTTGATGCGCAAGACTATCCTGTTAATGACGTTAGGAAAAAAAATCAGCGTATTGTTTAATGTGAATCAATCAACTTTCAGAGATTTTTCATTGTTTTTTCCCTTGCAATCATGGCAATATATCCTCTTATGTGATTTCATGTTCCCTCCATTTGTCTACACTATAGCAAGTTACTTTCCAATTCTACCTGACGCCGACATCTTAATTTAGAGGTTTGTTATGGTGAATAAATACTTCAGTACACAAACACAAGAAACTCTAAAATTTAAGTTGTTACCTATAAACTTCAAACAAGTTTAATTGAGAAAAAGCAACAGAATCAACATACCCACTATGAAGTTAAAGTCTTACTGAGCTTGAGTTGGAGAACCGTACCAGACGAAGAAGAAGATAGAGAAGTTTGAGCTGTGAAGAAGGTGGGAGAACTAGACTGGACGAAGAAAAAACGGGAAATAGAAAGGGAGGGGTCTGAAGCTGTTTTGGCTGGACCAAAACGACGTCGTTTTGGGTAAGGGGAAATAAAAAAAAAAAAAAAAAAAAAGCAAAAAGAAGTGTGAAACTGAGCCGTTTCGTTAAACCGCATGACATGCGGTAAGTCCCTAACCGCAGACGAGCTCCTCCCGCAACGTGGCAACAATTCTCTCTCCAGCTCCACCGATATAATCCGATCGTCACCGTCGCTGCGACTCTCTACTAACCCCCACCAACACTACCACCACCACTACAGCAGCAGAAGCAGCACGGCCATGGCGGTGGCCATGGCTGCTCCTTCGCCATTTCTTGGTCGCATCCCATCGCAGTTAGTAAGCACCTATATCCCCACTCTAAATCTGTCCACGTGTGTGTGTGTGTCTTCCTAGTTCCTAGATTTGCTACTTCACTTTCTTAGTGTATTTACATCTTCTTTATCTCCAATTGCAAAGTGTAAGTTTTTGGAGCATTATAAAATCTAGTCACTTATCGTGGGGTTAATTATCTTGACATTTTGGGGGAGACAAAGCAACTTCTGGGTTCAATTTGCATTATTATGCACGGATAGTTGAGCTGATCTTAGGAAACACCCTCTCACTTCATGTGTGTCGCGATAATGATTGATTTCTACTTAACTAAGAGATGATAATGCCCACTTGTTCTTTTCTCTTTTTATACAATTCAATATTGCTTTTGACATTACCTCCTTCCCCCACTAGGGTGGAGGGGAATGGGGAGCGTGGGAAGGAGGTTATGAGCCTGATAATTACCCACATTGGTCTTGCTTCTCCAAAATACTTCTGAATAATCATCATGCCATAACTTGATGTTTTTAATAGGCATGTACAGTTGCTTTGAATATTACTTTCTTTGTCACACTATGGATGTTATTTGCTGATTCCTTACTGCTTGTTTCATCATCTTTTAGTGTTGGAATACTACGATAACTTAGACGGAAAGTGGTTATAATTCATTGTGAAAATGTTTTGTGATTGCTCAATAATAGGGAAAACCATCATGTGGACAGTGGATTCAAAATTTGGTTCGCCCTTATAGAACAAAAGCGCTCTTTTGGGAACCTAGGAAGGCTGTGGAGCCTCCTGAAATGGATCTCTTATTGAGGGATTTCACATTGACAGAGTCAGGCTCCAAGGTGTTTCCTTCTGTTGGTCTTTAAGAAGTAATGGATATTTAGATGTTTTGGTTTATTGTGCTTTATGCTTATTTTTGATGGTTATCACCACTGTATTGTTTCTATATTAGGGAGACTTAGCAAACCCAGCAAAAGCTAAACAGATATCAGTTTCTGTGGTTTCCTCAATCTCAGAGATTTCGTCAAATGACTGGGATGCATGCTGCCTAGATGCCACAGGTCCCGAACAGTTTAATCCATTTCTTAGCCATGGTTTTCTTTCAAGCTTAGAGGAGTCAGGTTGCACAGTGAAGGTTAGCAGTTGTTGCTTCAGCACCATCCCCTCATTAATCATTTTTTTATGGTTGACATATATGAGCCTAAAAATTCAATCATTGCCTTGACAATCTCTCAGGAAACAGGATGGGTCCCACAGCACATCATTGCTCAGGATGAATGTGAAACTATATTAGGTGTTGTGCCACTCTATCTCAAAAGGTCTGGTATCTACCTTGTCGTTCAGAACCGATATTCCTGTTTAGTTTACTCTGTAGATTTTCTTCTAGCTGCTCTACTCATTTTTTACTGGCTCATGTCATTTCATTTGATGATGCAGCCATTCTTATGGTGAATATGTTTTCGATCATTCTTGGGCGGATGCCTATTACAGTTATGGTTCAAGATATTATCCAAAATTACAATGCTGTGTGCCTTTTACTCCAGTAACTGGTCAGAGGATTTTACTCCGTGACACTGAATATAAAGATCAGATCTTTGACATTTTGGTCTCTGCAATGAAGGATCTAACAGCTAAGGTATGGTTGGTCCAAAATTTTTTGGATTTTATTCTTTTCCTTTTTTGTGTTTTGTTGGCAAGTCAAATGCAAGCACCCTAATTATTTGTAATACGTTTCCTTGCTTGTGGTTAAAATCTATATCTGAATTTTACTCAATTTTTTTTCTCTGAATATTCCTCTTGTATCCCTGACAACTGGAGGTAAGAAATAGCACTGCATGCACTTAACACTTTCCTTTCTATTAAGGTATATTTCTCTTTCTTTGTTCCATTAATTAAACTATGTTGTGGAAGCCATCTTTATGCTTCTGTGTCAGCTACATTGATTCTTTCTATCAGGGTATTATTAGCTTGTGAATGTGAGTTTTGTCAAAGACAAATAAAAAACTGTGCTGCACTTGCGTTAATAACAACCAAACTGGCGCTAACGTTAATGCATGTTACAAGTTCATTTATGGGGCTCTAATGTAAATATTATATTTATTTTGTTGAACCTTGATACTTATCAAGTTGCCTAGAAAAAAAGAGGAGGTGGAAATTCGGATAACCTTAAGTAGGATTTCTTTTGGGCCAGTATTAGGTTTGAGTTTATTTTCCATTTAGTTGATTCAAAGGTGTGGTGTTCTTTTTTCTTTTGAAATGAGGTTGTCTTTAGCAGGACGTGGCGTTTTAATGTAGGAAAGTGGTTGTGGAGGTTTTAGGAGGAAGACCACAGTATATGGTAAAGAATGCCAGATGGAAGATGTTGTAGCATTGGGGTTGGATGTCGAATGAGGTTGTTGTCACAACCCAAAACCCCTTCTCCTTAGGCCATGGAGCATGATTGACCATGAAGGCCTAACATGGAACCAAATGTGTTGTCATCTGTTTATGATTAATGATTTTCTTAGCGAAAGCGTCTGTGATTACGTTATATTTACTTGTAATAATACCATAATAATACATATATAAATACCCTATACAATCATATTTGGTCAGAACAACCCTACCTTTATCTCATTAACAACCAATGTTGTTACCAAGGATCAAAATTTCGTTTCGAAGTACCGTTTCGGTCAACTCAAAAATAGAAACGTTTCGGAAACATTTCGGAAACGCAATGGAAACGCAGAAAAAATATGGAAACGCATAGAAACACAAATTCAATCCATTAATTTATAAAGATATGCTAAATAATTTATTAATTCAACATATTTATTAGGTTAACATCAATTTATACAAGAATAAATTTAAATTTGAGGGAAAAAAAGGCTTGACTTGAGGCGAAAGTCACTTAAATTAGTTTCAAACACTTAATTTTTATGAAATAAATACATTTTTACATAATATTAAGGTCTTATAATACACATGAAATGCTAATGAGTACATACTTACATGGTTACATCCATTCCCCTGTGGAGTGTCGAGCAGGCTCATACATCGGTGTAGGCTCTGGGTAGCTACTTAGAGAAACTCCATATGTGACATAAATATGATGACAATAGTTATTCCAAATCATATTATTACGGTAATATAATCCAATTAATAATACTATTTTATTATAATACTAATAATGAAGGGTATCAAATTAAATTAATGATACTTATGTATACTTAAAAATTAAATGTAATTGCAGTGGGTATTAAATGTAATTACAGTAGGTATTAAATATAATTACATTAGGGTATTAAATATAATTGTTAATACTTATAACAAAAAAAAAAGCAAAAAACTTGCACAGCAGTGAGGTATTAAATATAATTATAGTATGTATTAAATATAATTATAATGGGTATTAAATATAATTATAGTAGGGTATTAAGTGTAATTATTTATTCTTATAACAAAAAAATTATAAAAGACAGAAGAGTAGTGGGAATTAAATGTAATTATAGTGGGATATTAAATATAATTATAGTGAGTATTAAATGTAATTACAGTGGGTATTAAATGTAATTATAATGGGGTATTAAATGTAATTATTCATAATGAACCGAATATATCACTGTTTTGTCGAAACGGTTCGAAACAATGCCGTTTCGACCGAAACGGTCCGAAACAGTACCGTTTCGACCGAAACACTGGAATTTTGTGATTCAACTACTGTTTCGTTTCGGAGTGTTGAAATTCCGAAACGTTTCGGACGTTTCGGACGTGTCGACACGACATTTTGATCCTTGGTTGTTACAAACTCATAACATACATCGGCCATTTATACAAAGCATGACCTTTACATGCCAAAAGTAACTTCCTAAAAAAGAAGTCATTCTCAACTTCTAAACATAACCACTAAAACATTGTCTTATATACATAAAACTTGCTCTCATGAGCTTAGTCCCCTTCACCTGAAAATGTTTTAGAAAGAAAGAGTGAGCAATGCCTAGTGAATAATTCTTATGCCTTGTATTGGTTTTCAAGTAAAACATCTAACATTTCCATGAATATCAATATTCATATCAAGTAGCATCATAAGCTATTCATAATAAGTTTATGAATATGATGTCAAAGATATAATTAATCATATAACACGTCATCCAGCCATTCTTATTTTATGCTCTTCGGATTTGATCCTATTGGATCAGATCCATACCAGATTTGAGTCCGTCGGCTCGGACCTTTTCAGGATTTGAGTTGCTCGGTTGGGACCTATTATGGCATTGACACATAATACATAGACACTTTTTAAGTCATTTGATAATCCACGGCATCTCAAGTGTGTAATCAATACATAATTTCTCAAATAAGCATATGGTAACATTTAGAAAAGATTTAAGCATCAAAATTCCACTCCACAGTATAAGATTACTCACCTTAGTTCTTCACTAGGCTTTTTAACTATTGACTCCCTTTAACAAATCCTACACATATTCATACACATTACTTTCATTGCACAATAAATATGTAGTACTTATTCGTAAGTACTTAATATGTTGACTATTGACCCTAATGATTGTCATCATGTACTTATTTTTATTCCTTTATTCTCATTCCAAGTAAGAGGAAAGACATCAATTTCAGTCCTTTAAACCTCTTGGTCGATAAGTCCAAGATTTCGGTTTTAATCCCATTTAAAGTTTCCGTTTATGCATTATTTCCATAATTTGTTTGATTAGACCTTTGCACTCTAAAAGCTTCATAACCAAGCTGAACCTTCTCAAGGCTAGTGGCAACTAAGACTCAAAGAACTTCGTTTTCACCAAAAATTATTATTTTTGGAGATCAAATACATGTTCAAAGCAACTTGTAAAACCGAGCATAAGCTGCATATTTTTAGTTTTCAAGATTACTTTAGAAATTCACCAAAATTCGAGATTTTATCTTTTTTGCATGAAACCAAAGCCAAAAGAACCTTTTACTAATCTATTTCAAACCTTCATAGTTTAATAATCATCAACCCATTTTAAGTCATTTTAATAATCCCGAAAACACCTGTTGTCTGGAATTTTCTGAAATGTTGGAAAGTGTTTAAACTCCATTATTAGCAACTCTTAGGTTCATATCACGTGAAATACTCCTAGCCTTATAATTAAACTAACTAGAATAGGATTGCTTGTTTACTTCTCTTTCTTGGTGGTTATTAACTAGTTCTTTCCAATTTACTTAAAACCAAGAATCATATCTTATTTGGGAGTAATTCCAAACCCTAGATTACTTCCTTGAATTTCTCTCTCTCTTTTCTTCCTCTTTTCTCTTAGTTTTCTCTCGTTCTTTACACTTGCACGTCTTTTTCTACACAAACTCCTCTTTTCTCTTTCTTTAATTACAAGATATATATAATTACACGACACATATATACACATATATATGTATAGATGGGACACTTGTAGTTCTTAAAGCTTTCTCTCCCTAGAGTTTTCTTCACCTAGCACTTTCTCTCTCTTACACAGTTACACCATACAAGCTCCTCTTTCTCTACTCAAGCTTCTCTTAGAAAAGTTAACAATGCTAGCTTGATTAGCTAGGGTAATCTTTTAACTACATACGTCTTAACTCTATCAACTTAAATTAATCCATATGATTAGGGTCCTTCATTAAGTAAGTAACTACAACCTAAGTGTACTTAAGGGTCCTTAATCAAGTCCTAATCTTACATTAATCATGCTTAATTAACTTAACCTCAGCCCCCACTGCAATGTTTTAAAAATTGGGGAGTTTTAGAATTTGTTAGAGATTGTCCCCACTGAAAAGCTTTTAAACTAAAGGGTAGTCATGCATTTTTACAAACATGTTGGGTTCCTTTAAACTCTAGTAAAAGTAAAATGTGACTTCTCCTTTATCAGGGTATAGTTCCCTGGTTTCCTTCGTTCCGGCCAAAAATTCATCTGTCTCCTTTGTGGTCTCTCTCCATTCGAATTCCATGGATCCTTAGGCTCTAGCATGTTCTAGCTCTACACTCTAGAAACTCCCTCTCATCAGTTTTTTACTCCCTCTATGGTACTTCTATCTGTTTTTGACTTCAATCGTTATTGCAAGATCTATTGAGAAGATAGCTTAGAAGGATGGGAGTTTAGGAGATTCTTTCAAAGTTGGCTTGTCGGTAGGTAAACCATGAATGATTTCTTTGATTTCGATCATTATTATATGTTTTAATTTTTTGGGGCAGTGATTAGGGTTTTTTTTTTCTTACCCACTTAATTTTTTTTCTCATCATAGAAAGGAAAACATTGATATCTGGATTTGAACTGAACTATGAAAATTTGATGTTTGTGTATTGATATAGTTGAAATATAATCCGTAGCTCAGGAGGATATATTATGCCAAATGGGTTGAAGGATTACACCACTATATTTCGGAATTTGTCTCTCTGTTATTCTATTTTTGTACGTCAAATTGATATTGACAATTGTAATTTTTTAAATAATTGGGTTTGGGTTGTTAGATTTGAAATTTACGTGTTATGAATTACTTTTTGGATTGAATCATTTCGATTGATTGAGCTTGAGTAGATTGATTGTGATAGATTAAGTTATTCCTATGTCTAAGATTGATATAGTTAATTTTTTTTTACCCTAGATTGTTTTAATTGATTCGTGGTAGATTTAATTTTTCTAAATTATTATTGTTACAAATTGTTCAATTTTTCTAAACTATTTTGATATATTCAGTTTGAATAATGCATATTAAGTTGTATCTGACTGAAGAAATTAATTTTTGCATCAGCTATAGGTAAAAGTTTATGTTAGATATTATAGATGATAACTTCACAACAAGATTTTTTTGTTGTTGATTTTTTGGTATATCTCTCGTATGTGAGGTTAGCCTTTAATTGATGTTATTTTAATGAAACGATGCTTCAGTAAAAACAGTGTTAACATTTGGAGTTAAATAGTTAGATGTTTAAGGTTGCCCCCACTAAAAAAGTTGTCTGGCTCTGCCCCTGCATACGCTCCCTTTAAAAATTGATGAGTACTAACATATATAATGCCAAACCCAAAGACCTATCAAAACATCATAGCATGCAAATGTATAAGGTATACCATTAGTAAGGGTTATGCCAATTATTCTTTGCATTGGGTTGTCAAAGAATATCAAGAAAAGTTGAACGGAGTTTTCTAGAATTGTTGATTTTATGGTGGGAAACTAGGAATACAGTAGGGGTGAGATTCTTATGTGATTCTTGGTGTGCTACAGAACTGTTGGAAGATGAAGTCCTAGGTTTCACTCTTATTGGAGTCGATAAAGGCACATTGGTGGCATATTACATTAGAAGGTCAACTTAGAGAGGTGTTTGGAGCCCCATTTTTGTAAAGGACTTTTTGATTGGGAGTTGGAGGAATGCAGCAAGGGGTGGAGGACTCTTGGAGATGGAAGGCATCGAGCACTAGCAAATTAGAGCTTAAGACTTTGACAATGCACATTTCCGCCAGGTGACTGTTTTTTTCACCTTTAGCGGGTGTCGGGGCATCCTCCCCTTTGAGTATCATGTAGGGGCAAAATCATTCCTAATGAATGCTAAAAAGGAAAAAAGGTTGAGGAATATGTTAACCTTTTGTTTTTGCATTGACCTGTTTCTATGGTTGGGCAGAGACCTGTTTCTACTCCTCCGTGATGTGTTATGGGTGAAGCTTAATTCTAATGGGGATTGGTGTGTTGGGAAGTGCATAAGGTGGTGTCTGAAGGTATGGGTTGTGTCATCCCTATGTCTTTGTCGCAGCATGTGTGTGGAGAGGAGTTGGAGGGACTCTGAAGACGAAGATCTGGAGTTAAAATGACATGTTAATAAGACAAAATGTTTGTACAATTGGGGAGCCATACTTTGCAAGCAAACTCTCCAAGTTATCTTGTTCTTCATTTGGCTTACATAGGGAATGTTTTGAATTGATGTACTTCTGCAATTTTTTGATAAAGCTAACTCCGGGTTGTTATTTTAAAAGGAAATGACATTGCCATGCATTGGAGCCTCCAGTGGTGTGTTGGTATGGACCCAACTTCGACATTATTTTTATAAAGTGGCTACCCCCTTGAGGTTGATCCTGTATTTCCCTGCTGGCTTTTTACCATTGCATTTAACAGTGGCCCATAATGTACTTGCTAATCTTGCAAAATTGCTACCATTTTATAATTCAAGGTTAAGATTATGCATGGATCATATCTGCAGACTAGATGGTTGGTTTAACTTCCCAAGGGGTGCGGAAGATACTTTGAAATGGAGATGTGATGGGTGTTCGTAGTTGGTCTTATATATCATCCTTAGAGAGGTGTCATAGACTCATAGCCTAGTTGTTGTTAGAGCGGTATTTGGAAACGTGGGCCCCTTTGACGGTTGCCCTTTTCTTGGATAGAACCCAATGGCACAACAACACATGGCCAAGGGTGGGCACATTATATATATGTATATTCTCATATATTTTGAGCATTACCTATCTATTATTACAACCAGGAAGTTGAATTTTCAATTTATAAAAGTACAACAATGGTCAAGATTGATTCAATGATATAAAATTCATCTCAAAATATTTTTCCTGCTCAAAAACATCATTTTCTTTGCATAACTCCCAATGTCAGACAACTCAATCAACACGCTCTCTAATGTCAAGCAACCCCATTAATTTACATCTACCTCTTTCTTCTCTTCCGTACCTTTGTCACACCCCCACCCCAGATCATGTAGGGTGGGTGGCAGACTGGCCACCAATGCCTTAACCAATCAACCCATAGTAAATACAAAATACAACATAAGACAAATAATATCAAAAGAGTGGGTTGTCCTGTGCACATACCTTATGAATACTAGAGGAGTAAACAAAATATCTTCCAAACTTCTAATAAATCACAAGTAATTCCATGAACAAACCCTGAGGTTTACAAACTCTAAATTTAAATAACATTATTCTTAAAATAATTAAACACAATGTCTCAAATCCATAAATGACACTTATTTCTAAGGACTTACTTAAGACAATTCTTTAAGTCCTCTAATCTCTTGTCTGTCCCAAGACTTACTCATCATCCTAATTTTCACCTGAAAAATGTTAAATATTTTTATGAGTACAACAACCCATAAATAGCAACCACCTCTAATGAATTAGAGGTGTCCCATAATTTTTATATAAGAAATAAACTTTGATACATACATAAATATAACAAATTATATGCCAGCCCCTCTCACATAATCATTTAAGTAAAATGATCACATGTTCGCAAATATTTTTATAAATGAAAATGCATTTATAACCCAAACACTTACTCATTTTTCAGAAATAACTTTATAAATGAAAAGACATCTATAACTCAAAACACCCACACACACTCAGTTTCAAATACATTTACTATTTTTAGCCCGATAGTTGGCCATATCTCTTGTTTGTTACCACTAGCCTGATAATTGACCCATCGCTTAACCTGATGTTTGGCTCCGCCTCTTGTCATCACTAACTTGATGACTGACCACTATGTGCACATCCCTATACGGTCACACCGGTATCCCACCATCTCATAAAATATGTTTTTAACACACACACCAACGCGCAAAATTCCTCTTTTCACCAAAACACATTTAAGCAGTGACATAAAGTCATCTCACATATTTCCCAAAGACAATATTAATTACCACTCACCATTGGAACAATCAGTTGTAAAATATTTGATTACAACTCAAATATCAACATGTATAACATATATATGAAACATCCAGCCCCCCCCTCCCAACATGTTTAATATAGAAAATTCTCTCAAAAGTAGTAAACTACTCATCTTGGTTCTCATATTCCAATTCAAAACCCTCCGCCCTAATCTCAATGTAATCACCACCTAATCCAAAATAACATGTAACAATCAATCCCTTTTCCTAACTTTGTAATTTCGCGATTCTATTTTTAATTTTGTACTTCTTAGTAATAGCCCTAGCCTATGGAACGAAGGATTATCCCGAACCTACACCGAGGTATTGACGATGATTTTTAAATCTCGCAGAACAGAATGTGATACGATGAGATAGAATGCAATAGAAACAAAGACTGGGAATGGGTTACCTACTCTTAACGGTCAAAGCGAGCCCTTTTATTCTGAATTCTTAGTTATTAGTATCGTATGATACGCGATATGTATCGTACAATATGTCACGATCCACCTGAAAAATCATACGTATTGTGTCTCTGTATTGTTTTTGCATCGTATTGTACGATACGATACGTGACGATTATGTTTTTTTATTTTTTTTGTTTATTTTTTGGGGTTGAAATGACATCGTTTTACCCTAAAATTTATTTTTAAATCACCAGTGAGTGAAACAACATCGTTTTAGTAGTTGTGGTTTAAAACAAATAAAATAAAATATGTTGTTAATGTTATTCAATTGAGTTCAAAATTCCTGATTAATATTAAAGTTGTTCAAGTAATTGATGTTAGAAGTTTGAATTAGAGGTCTTTGCATTTTGATATTATTGAACTATGTTGGAAACTTGAATGGTTTGTAGAATATTAATGAAATGCTATATTATTATGAGTCTATGTTTTTTTTACAAAGTTATATATATAAATTATTAATAATTATGTAAAAATTAAATTGCGCGTATCTTACGATACGATACACTATTTTTAAAAAACTATACGCCTTCTTATACATGATTTGACAACTATGCTTCTTACCCACTGACATTCATTTTATATATCATTTACATAGAAATAACCTTTTTAATATAAGATAATAGGGTATGGAAGTAGTTTGAGCATTTTAGAAAAAAGTTTCTAAAGTTTTGGGGTCAAATCATAATTTTTGAAACTTTTGGTGTCAAAGTGTAATTTCCTTGAAAAATGAATTTTCTGTTTTTGGGGCTGCCATATATTTTTCAAAATAGTAATTAAGGTTCTAGAGACCAATTTTTGAGAATATAATCTCAATTTGATTCATTATGATTTACCCTTAATTTTTGAAAACTTAATCGAAACTTTTAGGGGTCATTTAAAAATTCAGAAACTTTCCAAGCCTCAAGGGTTGTCTTGAAATGATAACGTTTGTTTTACCAATTGAAAAAGTGGTCAAAATTGAGTTTATAATAATATAGGGGCCAAAATAAAGCTTCTTGTAATTGAAGGGGGTGTTTCTGTAATTTATGACTTTTCATCATTTTCTTCCTGCGGGAATTCTAGAGTTTGTTCTGCAACTTCATTCATTCTTTTCTTTATTCTTTTTTCTCTTCTTCTTTTTCTTTTTTTCTACATATTTATTAAACTCCATCAAATCTCAACAACTACAAACTTAAATTGAAACTAATAACTTTAAGAATCAATAAGGTACAATAAGACCCATATATATATATATTATATTATATACACTATCATTATAATAAATTTAGCACCATGTAATTGAATAAACTATAAAACCCATAAACTAATTAATAAACCCATACCCTTAATAGATCCAAACATTTTCTTCTTGTCCTCCTCTTTCCTTCTCTCTCTCTTTCTCAACGGCATAATCTTTTTTTTTTTCTTTCTCAAGGTGTAAAATATTCAGTATATTTATGTAAGTGGACATCTAGAGCAATAAGTGAACTTGCCTTAATCACACTTTCGTCCCATTTAGTTATTATTATTATTATTTTATAATTACACTTGGTATCCAATGCACTAAATAATTTTGTATGCTCTATTACAACCTCTCTCTTAATTTCTCTATTTTTACTTTAATTTTAAATTATGTAATTAAAGAAAATTATTATTTAAAATATAAATATTATACAATTATTATTTGATTTTTGATATTGCAGTTGCTAGTGCAAATATATTTTAATTATGCCCACCTAGTTGCTTAGTTCAATTGTTTTGTCCTTTTATTGTATTATTTATGAATTTTAATTCTATCATATTAATTCAAAAGTGAAAGTGCTTGCAATTCACCTTTAATGACTTTTATATTTTGCGAGAGTTTGTCTTTATTTTTATTCGACTTGCAATATTTATGATATTTCATTAATTTTTAAATAGTTTAGTCCTTAGTGACTATGCTATTCCAATAGCTCAATGGTAATGTTTGGAAGATAGTTTATAAAATAAATTAAAAAAGTTAAAGATTGTAAAATTCAATTACATAAGCTAATGGCTGCTCTGTGAATGACTGATAATTTTTCAATTACAAAAAAGCATTAGCCCCACTTTTTTACAAGGGTGGTAATTAGTCTTTTTTTTTTGCTTTACACAACAACATACAACTTTTTTTGACTCTTATCTCGAACAGACTTCATGTATCAAATATGATATAATGAATATAAATGCGTCATTTTACTTTTATTATTAGCAACGACCCCGTGCGATTCACAAAATTTGTATCTCATCACCTTTCTTTTCCCCTTTCACTATCTTCTCCTCTCTCCTCCTTCACCATTTAAGGATTATAGAAGTTAGACAAATAATTATAAATACTTGGGGGATAGAAAATAATTTTTAAAAAAAATTTAAATGAGTTATTGGTTAGTGGAGGGGTGATTATGCCACATGGTGAAATGTAATTGGATTGAGTTCATTAAAATTATAAAAATTGAGAGAATAGGGAGGGAAGGCCTCTCCCACCTAATTTGTTTGCTATATAATATAGTATAGATTAGGAGAGAAAAGATATCAGAATATGTAATTAAAGTGCCCACCCAAAATAATTTTTTTGGCTCCGCCCCTAATAGCAACTAAATGGATGCGTAACATTATTCTGAATTCTTGTTTCACGTCCAAAAGGCAGAGTAATCGGTCAATCACTTACATTTCCATTGTGACATGGCTTGGGTGATGTGGTGTTATATTTTGCTTTGTTTGGCATTTCTTGGGTGATTGTGGAGGTTATGTTAACTATTACAAGGGGACAATATGGAAGAAGCTTGCCTGGAAAAGGTGGGAGTCATGTGACACAGCCCTGTTGTGCTTTATGTGGACTATTAGGAGGGAAAAAGGGAGGTCTTTTGAAGGAGTGGGGCTCCTTGCACTAGGGGAAGTTGTTGATGTTGAGTTTCTTTTCTTTTCGTTTGGTGGCTTAATGAGGTGTATCCTGGGTGAATTGTATCTTTTCTTATTTTTTGGGAGAGTTCTACTTGGAAACTAACTTTTAGCTGCTGTAGATATCATGTATAATTCTTTTGTATACACTGTGTCTACAGGTTGCACCCCCTTTGTTGGCGCTTTCTTAATAGACAGTTTCCTACCAGAAGAAAAATATATATACATCCTGACCACTAATTGTTTTTTTTAAATCTCTTGCAGTTTCAACTTTCATCAATCCATGTCACCTTTCCCTGTGAAAGTGAGTGGCACAGAATGAAGGAAAACGGCTTTCTCCAGAGAATTGGAATACAGTACCATTGGAAGAATCGTAACTACAAAAAGTGAGTGATGTGGCCTTTCTTGCTGATGGTAACATTCATAAAAGCTTGAAATTAGTACTAACTCAGTGTCGATATTATTGGTAAATTTAAGCCTAAATCTTGACAAATGTATATTTTCTTGGGATCCACCTTAAGTAAATTTGGTCGTGTTCATCTTAGTCCTGCATATTACAGAGTCCAAATAGTTCTTTTTTTTAATTATATTTTCAATCCCATGGCACAGTTTTGATGAGTTTTTGATGGACATGAAGCAAAGTAAAAGGAAAAATATTCGTCAAGAACGCAAGAAGGTTAGTTTATTTATATCTTGTATAATTTCGCTATATTTTAACAAGAAGATGAACTTATGTCTCACTCTCACATGAATTCTGTTTGAAGCAAGACAAGATGCTAGTTAATATGAAGTGTGTTAGCATTTGATTTCTGTAGGAATTACCAGCAGTGGAAACTTATCATCTACTTTTAGATCATGATAGTCCTGCAACTTCTACCTACAAATGGGTGGTACTAAGAATCATATGCAGGAATACTAGAAGGAATATTGGAGAACATACATAAGTTCTGGTGCTTAACCCATTCTAGGAATCACTAGCTGTAAAAAAATGCAGTGATTAGTTCATCTCCACATAAAATTGTAAAAGCCTTCTTTGAATGGTTTCTCAGATTTAGATGCCCAATCTTGTATGTTCTAATACTTATTGTATTCTTTATTTTATTCTAATGCAAAAGTCACTTCACATGATATGTGTTCTGCTAATAATAAGTGATATAAAAGTACCCAAGCAGTGCTGTATTGCATTACTTTCATATGGCTTGCATTGCTTTGCTGATTAAATTGATAAAATAAGACAATGTATGTAACTATTCAATGTATGACTAAAAATATTTAGCCAAGGGAATAGTTCATTCATAAATTCTTTAGGATTTTAGTAATCTTAAGCTTCTAATAGCAACATTTGAAGGATGCCAATCTTGCAGCATTTGGGTTACCGGATGTTTGGACCGAACAAAATACATGGTGCACATATGACATACATAAAATATGTTTCCCCTCATTACCTTGTCATTGTTTGCAATGATCTAGGAAGCACGGATAAGAACACGGAGATACGACAAAGTTCGAAAATATAGTATACGGGTATGATAAAGATATGTTTATTAAAATAATATAATATATTTTTTTAGATAATAATAGAGTCATAATATATTAAAATAAAGCATATATTATAACAATATTAATAATAAGACCCGACAAATGTTAATTTTTTGATTAAAATTAAAATTAAAATAGATCAAAATAAATATCCACCATTTTCATCCATGAACATTCATAATATATAAGTTACATAACAAAAAATAAATTAAAAAAAATAGAAATCACACATTTTTTAATAGTTAACGGTCGTTTTTTTTGTAAATTCCTGGTTGTGTCCTGGTCATGTACGACTGAGTTCACTATTCAGGAGACTTCTAGCCACGTGCCGGCCGTGTTCGACGTGTCTGCTATAGCACCCCTTCAAAAAGTATTCGTGCTTCCTAGGTAATGATCATACTGAATTTGGTTTTTATCTCAATGAAAACTTTTTTGAGAATTTGAAGTGTGTACTACACTACGCCTAAAATGAATAGTATTTTTGGGAGAAATTTTTTGATGTCCAAACACTTGAATCAATTAGCTTTATGAATCACGCTATTGGTTCATCCCTCTCCTAATAATTTCATAATTATAATTTTTTCATTCTAATTCCTAACTAAACATACTACATTGGGGTCTTGGAGGACAACTCGGGAATGAGAAACGATTAATGAGCAGAAAGGTGATCATAGTGGATTCTAGTCTACAACATTGTTGGCTGCCATTTTTCAACGGCCCAACTAATTTCTTCCACAAGAACCATTGTAAATCAGAGCCTTTGAATAAGTAGGAGCTCCATGGTAAACTCCAGTCAATAGACTAACTTCTCTTATAGACTTCAAAAAATGGAATATTCAAAATAAATATATTCAAATCTTGAAAAATGCATGCAAGGAAAATCATGTGCATGAGATAAATTACCTTTTGCTTTTCTAATAAAGAAACGAAATTTCGTACATGAAGAGAAGATTACAGAAACATGCAGATGCACAATACATCCAACCAACATGCCTAACTGAGAGAAGAACAACAGAAATAAATACTTAAGAACCCATCGATGAAGCACACATGACTCTACAATCCACAAGAATATAAAATAGGGGAATTTGCACAAATTCCTTAAAAACGAAGCTCAAAAAGATGCCAAGAAGTTAATACTTTACCACTAACTACCCTCAAGCTCGTCCCTATAGCTAAAATTCCTTGCATCTTCCATTTCTTTCCGACAAATGAGCCAAACAATAACAAAATGGCATCTCTTTGAAAAATTAGCCTTTTCTTCAACTTTCGAACAACATCAACAACAAACATTGACGGGATAAACTAATAAAGAGGTAAATTGTTGAAATTGCATAGGAGAGAACTTTCCTTTTCTTCCACAAGTCAGCCTTGCCCATAGTTACCATAATTTCCACGATCTAGGTACATCGATCCCAAACGGGACGGGTTTGTGATCTAGATCATCAAAATGTAATCCTAAATCAATTTGTTTTGGTACATATAACACAAATATAAAATACATATTAATTGATGATGTGTGTATAGATTTTTAATTATATATATTGTTTTAGATAATAGAAAATCGAGCAAAAATGTAAGATAAATAGTAACTGACTTAGTTTTTAGGGACGTTCTATGTTTTATAACGTTGTAAGTAGTGAAAACATTCTAGATAAGAGTTCTAAAACCAATTGCGACCCATAACACCATATCAACTAAGCCTACTCCTATCGTATTGTGTACCTAAGAAAGTGTCGTACTAGATACGCGTACTATACACCAAAATGACACACAATCCAGGTAACATTGGTCTTGCCTGAAAGGGTCTCCAACACCCCTTGAGATGATGCAAATCTGTGTAAAAAAATCCAATACATAGATAGATGCGTGATTGGTTAGGAAGACCTTTTGAGGAAGAGGAGAAATCAATATCTCTTCTCTTCTGCCATTGGATGCTGGTGCACCACCAGTACATTAGGACTCTCTCCTTTAAATCTATACATTCTCTCCTTTAAATCGCACCAACATTCTCTATGTCCTTGAATGGAGTCAGCAAGGTTACTAATTTTTATTCTTGTTGGTTTGTCTCATTTTCTTCACATTGACTCAATGTAAAAAGTTTATTTGATGTATCGATTATTGAGTCATTGTTAAACTTCAGTTGCACAAATATCTTCTTTTGATACATTATTATTTATACATCGTTTAATTTTATTGTAATTTGTGAATGTCTATTTCTTGAGATGGGAGGTTGCACTTTTCTTTTTAGTGTGTTTCCACCATCTACTTGCTTTTGTAATTTTAATTTTTTTTTTAATCTTTTATGATTAATGATATTATCGTTTCCTATCCAAAAAAAAAAACATATTTGGGCCTTAAAATAAATATTTTAGAACAGAATAATCAGTCTAAAATATGTATGTTTCATCAATCATATAGACTTGAGATGAGCAACATATATTAATATAGATAAACTTGGATTCAAGTTGGGACAGGTTGCCTAGTGCCCCAGCCCAAGCTTAGTGGTGTTAAATTGACATTTGAGTTTCCTTGCGCAGCCAAGCTTCCCAAAAAGGCTATTGAAGCCTACGTAAGGGTGTGGTTTGGCCATTTTGAACTTGATTGTCTAGCAATCCTGATCTTGATTCCTCTCTCTCTCTCCCTCCCTCCCTGTATATTTTGTTTCTCAGTTGAGCATGCCTTATTCTTCTTTTTTGTCCCATTTTATAGAGAAAATGTTCACGGATAGAAAAATTTACAGTTTATCATATGTTAACTTTGGTAAGGACTTGAGGAGTGTGACGCATTGCATTCACACAAGTTTCTAAATTTTCTGAATGAACTTTCCTTAACGCAGATCTCTGCTCAAAATTTGAAGATGAAACGCCTACGTGGATATGAAATTAAGGTATTACTGGTTACATGAGCAATTAGGCTGTGGTTACATGTGCAATTAGGCTGTATGTGGCATATTAATGTTATTCAGACAATAACTTGTTCTATTATCAGAGTTGCCTTTCCTTATGCATCATCATCTTTTTTTTTACTGATGGTGAAAAAGGGGAAATAAACTTTTGTATTCTGACCCCATTGGAATCTGACCTTGTTCAGGAAAAAAAAAGCCTCTGGCTAGGCTAGGATTAGAAATAAAAGGGGAAAGTTTGCTGGAATAAAGATGATTGGCTCATTATTAAAGCCCAAATCAGAATCCTGAGTGCTTATTGAAGACGGTTCTAGAAATTTCCACAAAATGTAGAGCACTATTCGTGGGTAGTTGGTTTGTGGAGCTCTTATGATACAAGCTGTGTCAAACATGAGCTTTAACAAAGCATTCTTACTGGCATTTCTTTCAAAAGAAATGGGTTCTGGCTTAAAGGGTTTGCCTTTGACAGGCTATGGTCAATAATTTGCATGTATGGACCTTTTAATAGCATGAATAATTTACAAGTGGAGATCATGATGTTTTTATATGCATAATTTCAGAAAGAGTGATGAGTTTGGTCCCACATTGCCTGTGGGAAAAACATGGCAGACTTCCTCATCTCTATAAATATTCGCTTTCCAAGAAAAGGATGGGGTCCATCCTTTACCATAAACTTGATATATGTACTGGATTTTTTACTGATAAGAAAGGTCAAGCAGGAGCAACAACAGTATCTGCATTGTCAGAAGTGATTATTCTTCGATGCCCTTGTGTTTGTAGTAAGATTAGCATCTTGTTTTAACTTTTGATGTTTCTGAATAGTTTTATCTGAACTTGATGCTTGAGTTGAGCCTCAGTAACATCAACATTGGAGTATTTCAGGGATTTTACCTCGAACTTCGGAAGTCAAAATAAATTGTATGTACCTCTATGGAAATTTCTGGGGTATGACTCACTCTAATACCACAATACCAAGTGTAATACCGGTTTACTGTAGTGATTGGAATGTCCTGTCATTCTCTTAGAACTTATTGCTGAGCCCTCACAAAAGAAATACTTTGGGCTTCTTGGTCTGTTTATCTTCTCAACTAAATTCTTTAATTGCTAAAAGCTTGGGGTGGGTCTTTCAAAATTTTAATTCTGACTGCTGGCGTAGATAAACCTGTGATTTTCCCGTTAATGCTTCAAATTTCAGGCATGATAGTTTTGTGGTAAGCCCTTTGTAACTTCCAAAAGGATTTCTAATTCATGAATTGTCATAAACTGCATATACTTGTTTCTTTGTTCTCAATCATCAGTTTGTGTCAATAAGGCATTGAAGTTCTTACTTTTTTCTCATTCATCAATTTGTGTCCATAAGAAATTGAAGTTCTTACTTCAGCTTTTCAAATGTTATGATGGCAGGCTATACACTGGGATACTTTCTATAAGTTCTACAGGAACACCACAGATAACAAGTTCAGTCCCCTTTGAATGATTTCAATATCAAATTTGTTTTTATCTTACTTGTGACCAATCTGCTCCTGTTATTTACTTTTATCTGAACAATTCTATATAGTTGAACATGTTTGAAATTGGCACATATCAATTGTATTGCGGCACTTGCGGGCTTATTTGCAGGTGGGGTAGCGCATATCTAACCAGGGATTTTTTTCACAACATGGGTTCGAGGATGGGCGATGATGTGCTACTTATTGTGGCTGAAGAAAAAGATGAGCTTGTTGCTGGAGCCCTTAATCTCATTGGAGGAGATACTTTATTTGGCCGCTTATGGGGATGTCTCCCACAAGCATACTACCCAAGTTTGCATTTTGAAGCATGCTATTACCAGGTTTGATTTTACTTTTGATCAGTAGAGGTGGACATAAAGGATTTACAGAAAAGTCACTTAAAAGTGGAACTGCTAGCTGTTTAATATTTGTTTTTGGGGATTAAACAAACAGCTTATACTTGTTAAAAAGAGGTTTTAACATGCATGCAAACTTAAAAACAAGAAGAACAATCTTGGAAAGTGGCAATAGTTAATACCACAGGAAATTACTGTGGTTGTTTAATTGCAACAATTATACATTGATTGTTGCTAACTTTTACGTTTTCTTTCTTAATTATCTTGTGTGTCTTCTATCTCCAGTTTTGGTGTTTGAGCACTCAACAATTTGTTTCATTTCCTTCTGGGAATATTTAAGTTTGATTTTCTCTCCCACCTTATCACAGTAGTGTATTAATTAGCAAAAGTTTCAGTGAAGTATCATCTCCTAAAGATAGGTCTACAGGTTCTGTTGATATCCTACAATTTCTTTGGTACTTTGGCAGGCACAGTTAAGAATATTGGTTGCTTAAAAAGGAAAAGGTCATTTTTTTCTAAAGTTTGTAATAGTATTTCAGGCAATAGAGGCGGCAATTGAACTCAATCTGGACAAAGTAGAGGCAGGAGCTCAAGGTGAGCATAAGATTCAGCGGGGTTATCTTCCGGTGACGACTTACAGCTGTCATTATATAATGGATGAAGGTTTTAGGAAAGTCATAGAGGACTTTTTGGTGCGAGAAACGGCTCAGGTAATTATATTTATCTTATCAAAGTTTAGTAAACATCCCTTTTCAGGGAAACTATTACTTCATCCTTAGAACTGCACCATTTAAGGCAAAAAAGATTCTTCACACTGTTTTCATTTTTCACTTTTGTGGCTGGTATTGCATGCTTGTGAAATGAATAACAGTAAGCTTGCATTAAGTCTGATCTCTTTCTTTTGCCTTTTTCACCTTCTTCCTTGTGTGTCTGTCTTTGTGTTGCCCCTATTCACTAAGAAGAATGATGACAAGTTTCAACTCAACTCTACTTGCCTAAGTACTGGGGTCTTTTATATGAATCTTCTTTTGTCATTGCACTGTGTTGGACTATATCCTCTATTGAGTCTTCCTTTTCTATCTCAATCCATACTAATTTCAACTTCCCTTTCCCCCAGCATTATTGGGAATATCTATAGTGATGGTAACTATTGCATGACTAGAAAAGACACATCCACTTTGGAAGGTAAAGTAATGTTGTGGGTCCCACGCTACAGAAGAATACTTTTTGGTCCAATGGGAAGTGTCCATCGTAGTTACGTAAGTATTCATAGTTGTTGTTTTGAATAAGTATATCTTAAGCTTTACTTGGTAAATGGATTTGGAGATTCCCCATTGAGCATAATAGTCTTTGGCATTTAGTGATCAAGTGCAAATATGAGATTCATGACCATAAGTGGGATTCTAATTTGAGTGAGAGAAGTCGTTCACAGTGTCCTTGGAAATTTATTTCTCAATGATTATTCCTTTTTTCTCAAAATTGTATGTTAGTGGCAATGGGGAAGAACTTCAATTTTAGAAGATTTTTCAGTGGGAGAGGCTTCGTTTACATCCTTATTTCCTTGTTTATATCGATTATCTAGATCTCACTATTATTTTATTGGTAGTATTGTTTCCTTGTCTACTCCATCAATAGTTGGAACTTTAATTTGTTTAGAAACTTGAGAGATAGTGCAGTGGATGAATTGTCTTCTCTCTTGGATATTCTTGACAACATTGTTTGGAGACTAGATTCTTTGGATAGAATAAGATGGAACCTTGTTGCTTTGGGTGAGTATTCTCGCAAACCTTTAATCAATAATCCATCTATTCAATTTTTTGAACCTTTTCTTTTGTTTGGAAGAGAAAGACACCTTTGAAGGTACAAGTTTTGCATGATTTATTGCATATAAGCTGTCATACTAATGAGTTGCTCCAAAAAAGAAGGTCGTCATATTCTCTTCAACCGCAGTGGCACATCCATTGTAAGAAAGATATGCATGGATCATTTGTTCATTTATTATGCTTTTGATGCAAGTTGTAGAATAGACACTCGAGTGTTTTGGGGATCTCTTGGGTGGTTCCAAGTAGTTGTGACTTAGTGCCCACTATGAATTTTGATGGCTTTAGTTCATGTCCAAAAGTCAGGACTCTGTGGAGATGCGTGGTGAGCTTTATTTTGGGTGGTTTGGTTGGAAATATATGGGTGGATTTTTTAGGAAAATGAGGTTCCTTAGGAAGATCTATGGGATGAAATCTCTTTGATGACATTTCTTTGGGTGTATACGTCCAAGGATTAAAGATCATTGGGCTCAAGTATGCTAATAGTGTTGTCAATTGATTTCTTTATCTTCTTATTGTCCTCTCATATACTATTTTCTTTTTTCACCTTAATAATATTTCATCATTTTCTATTAAAAAAAGTAGATGGTTGTTTAAATTAGTATAAAGTAGGGGGTACCGTGTCCAAATCTCACCGCCACCTTAATTATGAAAAAGATTTCTATGTATTAGGCCCAAATTCTAGCCAGCACGTGGGGGCATATTGAAGTGTAAATATTTAAGTTACACCCTCTTTAATTGTTTAAACTTTTGGAGTAGATGATTGCAACTTTTAATGCAGATGGTGTTCTACATGGTATTAGAGCCTAGAGATCCTGAGTTCAAATCTTACTAGAACTCCTCTCTACCAAAAAAAAAAAAGAAAAGTAAAAATGAAAATAATTAGATGGGTAGACCACCCAAAGGGAAGTCACATGTGAGGAGAGTATTAAATAATTACTTATATTACACTCATCTCTAATAACTTTAGCTTTTGGAGTAGGTAATTGTTTAACAATGACAAAAGTAATTTGCTGTTGTGGAGGAAACTTTGGTGTCATTAGATTGGTTTCAAACAACTTAATGGGAATAGAACAACAAGAAGCATGAGAGAATTTGATTCTTTTATTTGGGAGTATAGGGTAATTGACATTTTTTTTATCAAGTGCTAGATTCACGTGGTCTTTCCTTCAAGAGAATTTGATGGTGCAGCTAATTGGATGGGTTTTTGTTTTCAAATGGTGGGAGAACATGTTTCCAAGAGAGAGGCAATTGGTTTTGCTAGCATAGTATTGAATCATTGTCCAATTATATTAGCAAGTTGCCGTTAAGATGGGGGCCTACACATTTTAGGCTTAAGAATGTGGTTGGAGCAACATTCTTGCAAGAACTTTTCGGAAAGTCCTGCGGTGAGTGTGATGTTTAAGGTTGGAAAGGGTCTTAAGTTAACGACAAAGTCTTAAAAGCTTGAAGGAAAAAAAAGTGTGGAACAATGAGGTATTTAGAAACGAGAAACAAAGAATTCCATTTTAAGAAGGATTAAGAAGGAAGGAGGTTTGGGAGAACTACTTAGAAAGATAAAGACGGATCTTAAGAACAAATTTGAGGTGATCTATAGGAAACAAAAGACGGAGACTAAATGGTTCAAAAAAGGGATAATAATTTTGACTTGTTTCATAGGATTGCCAGTGGAAAGAGGAAAAATAGATCTACTAAAAGACTTAAGGCATGAGATGAAGGGTTGTAGAGGAGAAAAGTCAATGGTAGTGAGATCTTTAAATTTGTGTCTTTAAACATGTTCTTCTAAGTGACATAACTGGGATAGATAAAAGGATGGGAGTCCGATTGTGCAATATAAAGCTAGATGGTTGGATAGACCAATTGAAGTTCAAGAATTAAAGTGAAAGTTTTTCAGTGCAATTGTTTTTTTTCAAACATAGAGACTACATATGAGGAAGATGCAAATAGAGATGCGGAAGCTCTTGTTGGAGGTGCAGGAGTAATGAACATGACTCTTTTAGTAGCTCTTGCAAAAGGAAGAAATGTGGTAAAGATGAATTCCAGGCGTAGGAGTTCATTCAACTATAATAGGGCGAGCAGAGGATCCTCCCTTCCATTCTTTGACCTCCTCTCACCCACTTTCGAACCTGCACAGTCCTTTTTCTAAATGGTTATTTTTCCTGAAAATCTTTTTGATTGTGCTGTGCGCACCCACCTCCCTCTAAGCTTGTTTCACTCCCTGCTTCTCCTACCTACTCTCGCAGCGAAAATCATAGGATCAATGGATCAAACTGGAAGATTGGACAATAGGCAAAAGTTGGAAGAAACTTGGACCAGGTGCCCGATTGAGGGAGAAGACCTATGTCACCACTTGAAGGTTGTTCGGGGTTCGGGGGTGGAAAGAATTGTAGAATAGTAATCAACCAATTTTCTTTTAGAAAATCTACCTCTGGCTAGATGGGGCAATGCCAAAAAGCTGTATAGTGCAGTAGCGCTCACATTTGTTGGCTTACTCTTTCACTTGAATAGATGTGTTTTATGTGGTGATATTTCTAAATTGTTGAGAGGTGAGTAAATGTGATTCAATGAGACAGTTTGTAGAATTTTGTTTATAAGGGATTATTTGTGCATTTATAATACTTCTTTCATTTGTCTTACTCCTGAAAAAGATGCATATTTGGCGATTAGTGATTTTAGGCTGGCCAATTTGGCTTATATCATTCGAATAAAGTTTTGGGTGAAGTGTTGTGGAGGAGATTGAGAAAAGTTTTATTGATAGCATTTCTCTGTCTTACAGCGTTTTTGCGAAAGGGTGTCAAATTCTAGACGTGGTTTTAGTTGTGAATGAGGAAGTGGATGAATATAGAATTGGAAGGAAAGAGTCATTTTTAAGGTTGATTTTGAGAAAGCTTTAGTCATTGTTGAGTGGGAATTTCTAAAATTCGTTTTAGAAAGAAAGATTTTGGGAATACGTGGGAGAGATGGATTCTAGGATGTTTGTCTTCAACTAAGTTTTCAGCAATCGTCAATTGCAAACTGGGAAAAGGTTTCACAACTTTAAGGTTCTTCGACAAGGTGACCCTTTCTCTCTTTTTTGTTTGTATTAGTTTCAATGCTTTTGAGCAGATTTGTAGAGAGAGCTGAGAACATTGAGCTTGTTGAGTGTTAGTGACAAGGCGAGGTAGAGTAGCCAAGTCTTAATTTATAGTTTTATTACGATGCATGATTCTTTTAACCAAGAATTGAGCACATTCTTATATCTTAATATGTATTCCATTTTGAAAATATTTGGGATTTCGGTGTTTAAGGTAAACATTAATAAAAGCTCCATAGTTAGTATTAATTTTTTGCAAGATAAGTTGGATAGGTTGGTGGGTGTTTCTTGGTAGTTCTCTTAATAAATGGACTTTGAAATATCTGGGTCTTCCTGGGGGGAGAATTCCAGGTCAAAAGGTTTTTGGGACTCAGTGAATAGGAAAATTGGGAAGAGACTGATGGATGGTAAAAACCTATACTATCTAAAGTGGGGAGATTATCGTTGGTGCAGTTGGTTTTATCTAGCATTCTGCTTTACCATGTCTGTTTTTCTATGAATAAAGGGGGGACTTGCCTTTTCATTATTATTGCTAGGAGTATTACCTTCATGGGGAAGATGTGAAGATTCTCTATCATCCAATTACTACCAATCGACATTTGTGTATACTTCAAGACAATCTGGATCAAGGAACTCATTACTGAAAATTCTTGAATCCCTATCCCTCACGGGTAATAAACTGTAGCTGCCAAACAGATCTTATTCACAGTAGCCCGTTGATTTGCCAATCCAACTAGTTGCTTCCCAGCTGATGAAGTCTTGCCAAGGTGTTTGCTGCCAAAGAACAATACATTTGTTTATAATAAGGCTCTAGATTTTGTTGGAGAATGAATGCTTAGAAAGATAGATGGGAGTGACTCCCTATAGCTGCTATGCATAACATACACTAAAGCCCCAGGTGTGCAGAGTAATTCTGGTTACTCTAGGAGCATGCGTGCACAGATTCTGCGAAGCTGATGTGTTTGTGTAGAAACATCAACTGTTGGTAAACCATTTCACTTGGTCTCTACTGAGTTATTAGGAAGTAGTCAGGCATTAAAGCCTTAATTTCCTGTAAAACATCTGAGGTTTCAAAGCGCTAACTCTATTAATTGCCATCAACAATGTGGCTAACATTGGGATTTCTAGAATTTAGATTCATAAATGATTATGGGGCCCCACCTTAGAAACAGAGGGCCAGGGGGTACCAACTGTCTGATGCAAATGGAAGCTGCAACAGGGAAATTTTATAGACGATCTAGTGCTGGAGATCTCATAGCAGCATATAAAAGTACGATCTCCCAGTATGAAATAACCACTAGAATTGAAATGAAGCAACAAAGGTCAAGTATTCTCCCTTAACCTAAGAAAAATACATGATTTTGGAAGTTTTCGAAACTGCAACGAAACAGAAACTGCAGCCTTTTGCTAGCCTTGCAAGCATACAACAGTGACAGAGGGATTGATAGGGACCGCGGGGTCAAATCCTCAAAAAGTTGCATAGAAGGATAGGGCGGATCTCAAGATAGAGCGAATTTTCTTAGAGGCCTCTCCTAGCCTTCAAATCTTGGAGCTCTCTGCAGGAGTTCTCCACTCGAAGACTTCAAAACTACTAGAACAGTTACTGAGCCCCTTTATTTATACTAACCCCAAAGCTTCTAAAGGAAGCTACCGTAAGGCTTTGCACATAAACCCCCAAAGAACTATATAGTTTCAAAACACTCCAAACATATAACTTTTTATTGCAAAACACTCAAAAAAGACTCAAATAGCCCTCACTTAGGTGCAGCTAGGCCATTCGGGTAACAAAATCTGAAGTGACAATAACAACCTTGACCGTATTTTTTATTGGTTCATTAAATTCACACAGTTATATGTACATATACACACAATTTGTGTCATTCTCATGCCAAAAAGTATTCCTTCCATTACCAATAACATGCTGCATAAGAGGTCTTGCCTTATCTCTTGAGTGCAACATCTCCCTCCTATTCCAAAAGCATTTTCTTTGTGGGGTGAGGGGCACTTGATTTCCCAGAAGCCTCTCTCAAATTGAAAGTTTAACCCATCTGCTCCATATGCTTTGTTTGTCAGTAAGGAGATGCCAAATGGGGCATTGTTCTCATTTTGCAATCCCTTTAGTCCCAGTCCATCTTCATCCTTTAGTAAGCAGATCTGGCCAACCCACTTCAGCAGCATTCTTCCTGAGTTCTGTACCAGACCATAGCAAAGCTCTGCAAAATTACTCAATTATGTTCAGAACAGGTTTTGGAAATATGAGGTGGCTTTCCCAATAGATCTGGATGCTGCAAAGAACTTGCTGGATTAAGTACAATCTGCCAGCAGCAAATATAAGAGATTTATTGATTGAGGACTCGATTTTCTATCAAAGGGGCACAATCAATCACCTTCGGCTTGTTAAATGTATTAGGGATAGCCACGTATCTAACTGAGGTTGTTCCTTCCCAACGTCTGTTCCTCATGGAACCTGAGACACCTCCGCTTACTTTCTTTTTTGGTATTCTCACAATCAAATTTGGTGATTTTAAGCATCTCCATGCTAGGTGTCCGATTTTTCTTTCAAATACTGCAAGAAACAAAGTAAAACTTCATATAATTTGCTTTTCGAAGTTTATTAGCTTAGATATTGTTTTTGAGGTTAGAAACATCTCAGCATATGTTCATCTAGAAATTCTGAGCGATGATTTGCCTACATATGGACTTCCTGTTATTTTGATTAAATTCTCTCTCTTTACAGGTTAAGCATGTCATGAAACTGTTGCATGATTCGAGTCCCTTCAAGGAGGGTATACAACAGAGTACTGATGGACAAGGCCCAATATAGTTAATAGAGGAATAAGCGTAGAAGTGTCCACGCAAATCAAATGCCAAGTTTAATCGACAGCCTCTTTGTAGAATTCTTATGTCAGATTCAGATGGCATAACAATAAAAGGAATATTGGCTGTTATACTTCTGGGTTATTACCCCTTAGATTCAAATAGGACCTCATATTTTGTATAGAACCATGATGGTGAAACTCTTACGTCTTCCTTTAGGGGAAATGTAAATATAGCTTTTGAATGTATATAATTACTTTTAAAAGCCTCTTCTTGTGAACTTACCAGGTCATTTGAACTGCAATTGTAAAGATTCCCCATTTACAATATTTTTCCATGATATCTCTGGACAGATCTCTTATTAGCTCTTATCAATTTGAAGTATGTGTTCAATAAATCATGCATTATGCTATTCAGAATCCAAACTGGAATATTGCAGTGCTTGAGAGCATGCCCTCGTCTGGTCCCTTAGTTCCACATGTATTGAGCGAGATGAAATTCCAAGGGCTGTCACAGGAAATGCTACTCAAAGTTGATCCCGGGGAAATATAATTTTGCTCATTTTACGTATCGCAAGCAAATTGTGGGATGAAACACCAAGGGGACTGTCCTGAAGGAATGCAACCCGAATTGTCTGCACCTCTTGTACTTAGATTAACAATAACAAGACGTATATCATTTGATGTTTAGAGCAGTTCAAGGCTTTAATCAGAGCTCTCCACTCATGCATGTTTCAACAGGTACAGTAATAAAAGATTCTTGCCCATCTACGCACGCTACAAATCCATGTAGGACATGAATCGAGTTCAACCACTGATTTATCCTTAGCATAGGAGAGGTTCTGATGGTGATGGACCATTGGGCGGTGTGTGTGTGTGTGTGAGAGAGAGAGAGAGAGAGAGAGAGAGAGAGAGATGTATGCAGACTTCTATCCACCCAATAAGGAGGAAAAAATAATTTCTAATAGAGTTTAATATATCCGTAATATCCAAAAAAAATAAAAAATGGACAGCATGGCAAACCCCAGAAGGACAAAAAGAAAATCTCAGCAAACACATTGCAAAGTACATCTCATGTCCAGCAACTGCAAACAAAAATGCAACACTCAATTGCATATTACTTTATCTACAAAGACACGTACACCAATTATACAACGCTACTATAACATAACTAGAGCTTAGCAATAGCTCGATATATCAGGAGCAGGAGCAAACAACCACCCCACCCAACAAGAATGCATTAGTTTTTTCAGTCTAACCTAAAATCTATAACCGGAACCAGACGGAGGCGGTGCAGGTGGCAAGCGGTTAGGGGTGGTGCGGCGGCCACCGGATTTTGAGCCTGAGCTTACATCACCATTTTGGGCAGGGTCACTGTACCGACGACTGTGACCATTGGACCCAAACCTCGATGAATCGCTGTATGAGTCCATGGGACCATTGGCAGCAGCATCAAATGCAGACCTCCAATCATCGCCTGATGAGGGTCCACTGGATCTCGGACTGCTTTCTGCACACATAAATGCAGAAAAGAAATGATAAGTTGAAGACAGGATCCAATCTATTAACCAGATTTCCGAATAGAATTACAAAAGCCAAGAATTCTCCGATCTATTCAAACATAATAGACCTAATGAAATGACAATCTCCGAGTAGGAATAAATAAAAAAAGTTGCCGAACCTACAAAATTATCCCAATTTTTTTAAAAAACGAAAAATAAACTATCCCACAAGAACCTAACCTAAGTGATGTGAAATTGGCATTAATAATACTATCCTCTTAATAAATACTCTAAGACATACCACAGAATAAGGATTCACGTAATTTTTTTAAATGAATAACATGAGGTTAAAATTTTTTCTATTTTTCCATTACTACGGTGCAATTACTTTTGGCTTTTCTGTTGGAACGCACAACTAGAATAAAGAAGAGGATAAAATACTGTACAACCCTGACCTGCTCCACTACCATTCGACAAGCTCGAGGCTGCTGCTGCTCGATTATCATGAATACTGAGTTGCCTCGTAAGCTTTGAAAGAAGAGAGGATTGTTTTTCATAACGCTCTCTCCTGCGCTTTACATTCTGGTCCTCCTGAAGCAGCTCCTCGATCCTTGCTGTACTTTGGGCACTACAATAGGCATGAGATATGTCAAAATAAAGTAACAGGATAAGCATGAAAGATATTTGAATTCCCTAGGAACAAAAGAGCATGTCTTGCATTAGATGCAATTGTGTACCATCAATATCAAGTTTAACTGGCACAAATTGTTGTTCTTTAATTTTACAAGTTTCACACACAATCATGGGGTATACCAACTACATTTCGTGACATATTCCTAACAAGCAAAGATCAGAAACATAGCAAATTATGCAAGCAAATATGCTATCAATAGTCAAAGATGTGGGCATCCATACACATACAAGGAAACAAAAGATGCTTCTAACCTGACAGAACTATACAACTTATTAAGCATGTCTTCTTTAGCTTTCTCCACTTGGCAAAGAACAACTGCCTGCACAATCAGAACACATGGTAAAAGGTGTGGAGAGAGGAAAAAAGCAGATATAGATAACCATGGGACCGAGAGTGACTTTGAGTGGAAATACTGACTTTTGGGACATTGGCAGCAAGACTATTCAGGACAGCTTCAACGTAACCTCGTACTTCTTGTGACATCCATCGTAATTCTTCTTCAGGATCAGCAGGTCTTCTTGCCATTGTGTCCTAAATTTGTGGAAGTAAGTCAGCACTTCAGACTAGGGAAACAAATACTTCAGGCAATTTAGAAATTTAAGAAACAACGATGGTCAAAAACCACAAACTAATTGCTTTCAAGTTTGGACACTATCACAGTACCAGATACTAAAATATTGAAATTCTTAGAAGGGATCTATGTGAAAAAAAAGCTCCCTGAAATCTAGGGAAACATTTGAATCCAACCACATTAAGAAACCAAAAAAAACTTTTGAAAAAAAAATTTGCAGAAAATAGCTGGGTTATGAATTTGGAAAGTGTTGACAACAAGAATCACGAATCATGTAGTGACTCACAAGAGAACCATCGGATAGACTCTGCCGCATGGGAGGACCAGATTCACCCTTTATTTGACCTCCTTTAGAACCAATAACAGTCCTCAACTTGTTCAACCATTCAGCCTTATCTGCTGTGCTCTCAGCCTTCAACACAACAGCACTGTGAGCTGCAAGATCAATTAAAATTATAGTGAGCATTGTCTTGTCAAATTGGCAGGAGAAAGGGAATTACAAAACATCCTCTTGAAGTCAAACTAGAGATGAATAACTTACCTTTAAGAACTGTCTTATATGGAACCCTGCTTGTTATTTTGAATATGAGAGTGGGTGTTTTTGCCGTATCAGGCCCATTTGCCTTTTTATCCTTGGAACTTTTTGATGGTGGTTCTTCTTCATCAGAAACTTCATCAATATTACATTCCTGAGATATGCATCCACAAGGAGAGAGATGTGTTCATTGGTATGCAATTTGATTTAAACCAGCATAAGAATTTAAACAAAAGTTTTCAACTTATTAGCATTTTTGGATCAGAGCTAGCAAATCAAGTTTATTATTTGTAATGCATTCGCAGAGTCTATGCAGGGAAAAATTGTTTATCATGAAGCACACATCACTCAACTGCAAAAAATGCCAATATCTCATCAAACACAGCCAAAATCAGCGTAGCTAAAGAAAGCCTACAATCTAGGTTAGTATTTTACTTGGCCATCCAATATTCCCATATACTGACTTCAAACATATCTCCTCCAAAAAATTGATGGGTACAACAAACAAGAATTAATTGCAACCCAACCCAGCTCACCAGATAATCAGAAAAAAAAAAACCCAGCGCAACTCAACATATTTTCACCACATTTATTTAGGTTCAGCAAAATGGTCCTACTTCACAATCACACCGTCTAGCATTACAAGATCAATTACCTCATAAATGCCCATACTCGCTACCTCAACCCACAGTAAATCCGATATTTTCCTTCCTCTTCCCCAAGCACTACGTTAATGCAACCCATATCATTTTCCTCACTGATCGAGCTTGCCACATATAGCCAACCCATCTCAGACTGCATTCTCCCTTTTTCCACTTGTTCAACAATAAAGTTCCATATTTGAGAAAAAGAATTAATTGTTTACACACACACACACACAGATATATATATATATATATATTCTCCCTTTTATTTTTTGCTATAAATCATATAGTGCTGAAAAGAGTGAAGAGATCCTTAATTGTAATCACACATCACACAAACACAGAGAACCTAACTTCCCTATCTTTGAACTAACCCCTTGATTAGAACAGTCCACCACCCAAAAAATAATTACACCCGACGGTTTTACCTTCCCATTCCTAAGGCAAACAACTAGTGAATCCACAGGGGATAGCTTTAGGAAGAACTAGGAGATATTTTTATCCTCAGACATTTAAGTATCTGGTCTGCAGTTATAAGCAATCAGTTTTGATAGGATGAGATAAACCAGATTCAACATCAGAAGTAGTACAACAACAGCTGATGCAAATACTTTATATTCTTCGAAGTCTGTTTAAATGAATATTGTCCAACTTATTGGCCATATCAATCCCAAAAATCAAATCATTGTCATGATGTGGCCAGTAACAGTAATTTTCTACAAAAGAGGCACGTGGACACAATCTATAGATCTTGGTACCACCAGCAACACAATATAAGACAGGAAGTAATATAAGCAACACTCAATTTAGACACACGTCATAGAACTTGTACTGGTAATTTTTTCCTGTAAAACTTATGAATAGGATTAACCTGACTATAAGACCTTAAAAAAAATTTGAGAAGGAAAAAAGCCATCTAGCGCGAAGCGCTGCCAAAAACAACAAAGTGAATGCATATTTGAACCCTTGTTTGTAGAGCTCAATGAGAAATATGCTGACACAAAAAACAAAACAAGCACCCTTGCCGTCACATAAAAGAATACACAATTAAATGGTGACAGATGACTCAAAAATGTTCTGGCATTTCATACCTCCAAAGTGATGACACCACGGAAATGTCGCTCTTCTTGTTTTTTGGTGTATCCAAGCTGCACAAGAGGTTTATATCAAAAAACTTATCACATCTCTAAGAATGTAAGTAGAACCACTTGCAAGCAATGATGAGCTAAAAACTGAAAAGGTCACCTATGCTACATACTGGAAAAAAATGGAATATAATTGATGAAGCTTGCTTTTCATTTGATCACTCTAGACAGGTCTCAAAAATGAACATAGGAGCCTGATAAAAATATGTTGTATATTCATACATCTATGTCATATTTAAAGCAGAGGTGTACGCTGCCATCCCAAGTGGGCAATTAGCATGTTCATCTACGATATAACAGTAGAAAATCCAACAATTACAAAGTATATAAGGAGAAAAAAAAATGAAGATCCATGCAGCATCCTACATGCAATTCAATCAGACGAAAATAGGGATTCAGAGTAGGTTAAAGCATCTTTAATCACGACTGAGGGAGGTTAAAACATTATACTGCTAACCTTTCCAGTTTTCTCATTCAAAACAAACCATCGCCTGCTCCACCCATTAGTTTTTGCACTTTTCTTCAATAAGAATCCTACAGATAAACAAGACAATTCAAAGAAAAGAAAGAAATTATCACTCCAAGCAGAATGCGCATAGCAGAATCAAATTAGCAAGTGCGTTCAATGATTTCGCTGAAAGAGGGAGTTAGCAATGAAAGTTCTTCAAAAGATGAAAGCCAAAATTTCTCATAAATTTGATCATAAAGGTTGAAATAGAAACAAAGGAATAGAATTATTAATAAATGTGGGCTGCCCATACCCTCTCCCTCCCCCCTTCCCCCAAAAAACCCAAAAATGAAAAAGAAAATAAAAGATACAGCTGCTGAATGTAAAGACATTTGGTAGTTCGCAGTTGCATGCCACAAGACACCTCGGTTAGCTAGTTTTAATAACTCTCAATTTTAGTTTCTGGAATATGCTCTAAGAGTGACTGCCAACTAAAACTTATTCGACAGGCTGATTGTTTCAATTTGCAGCTGAAGGCTCATACATGCTTTTTGTTTGCTGGCATCATTAGGACCAAGCCTCCGGTACAACATGTTTATGTTTTGTATTGATGGACTCTCTTCCCTCATGTAATACTTTTTCATGTTTAATGAAATTTTTTTTGTTGGTGATTAGAAAAAATAAACAGAAGTTAGACGGGTGCGACAGTTGGGCCAGGTGGAGAGGGTGTAGGTATATAACTTAAATATTTGCCCAATATCCTTTTTTGATCAATTTAAATGGCAGGATTTGATCAATTTTAAACACCCAGCCTGCATGTGGGGGTATTTCATATTTGTTGCAGAAAAAGCAATGTGTGTGTGTGTGTGTGTGTGTGTGTGAGAGAGAGAGAGAGAGAGAGAGAGAGAGTTAAGCGTTTACTTAATGCAAAAGATCCACAAAACAGTTTAATATTACAGCTGGTAGATTTTTATCAATGTTTCAAACAGACACTAAAATAACAAAATAAATCTAATCTCATACTTCACAACAAAATTCCTATCCTTCATCCACAAAACAGGCATTGTTCTAAAGCCTAGTTACCATAGTATGAAGAGGCTTGAGTTCTTTCAGATCCCAAATGAAATTAAAAAAAAACTAAAAATAGATAAATTACGTCCTGGAAAATTGTATGCTAGACAATCTAATGATACCTCAACCAACCGGTCAAACTTACATCATCCAATCCCATAAAAAAAGTGATCTTTCAATGGCACATTCTCTAACATTTTAGTATAATATCATATATAACAGTCAAAAAGCGAAAAAATCTTCATTTCCAAAGAATGCTCAAGTCAGATACCACACTACTATTCAACACTGACAATGATGAAAAAGAAAATGAGGAAATTGTCTCTGCACGAACCTGCTGTTATCTCCCCCTCAGGCCCGGCAGTCTTCAAGGCTGGTCCTTCTTGTACATCCTTGTCTTGCTGACTGGATTTATCCTTCATAGACTTCAAGTTTCCCCCAGCTTGTTGGCCTCCAGTTTGAGGACTGGTTGCCTAAATGGACCATAGAAAATAAGTAGAAAGTCGCAATTTAGAACAAAAATCTATACAGGATTATTTAAAAAAAAACTCAAGGAAATTCTTCCACCCACGAGGAAAATTAAATTACTAAAACTCAAGCATCTAATGAAGCCAGCATTAAGTAAAAACATGTACCCTATTTGACACGGGCTGTTCTGCATCAAGTGGCCTTTTAGAAGGTCGGTTTTTAAGCTCTTCTTCACGCCGTTGCCTATCCATCCTGCAAAACACAATTGAACAGAGAGATATCAAGTATCTGATAGACATAACAGCAAACAATAAAAATGATTGAACAGTGAACAAGTAATCTTAAGGAAAAATACACCAATACACCACTGTCACTATATTGGCCCACTTCCCGTTGCTAGAACATATTCCCAAGTAAGGAAGCCACTAGTGGTTTGTCATAGGTCAATATTGAAAATCCTTTCTTTTGGGCCTCCTATTCCTAGGAAGGAAGAAGATAAGAAAACGCGAAGTGTTGTCGTATTCCCTTGACCAATTTAACTGGAACAACTCTGGTACATGGAACGAGAAAAGGAATGTAGTGCACCACTATTCTAAAACATGGTAGCTATGGGCAGCCTTCTTTGGATAAGATAGTTAAATTACCTCAAGGAACCTTAGAAGGCAAACTCCATTAAAGAATTCGATGATTGAATAGAATGTACAAGTTCACTATTTACTAAGGTCAATGAACTATACTGCAAATTATATGAAACTTTAAAGTAATTTCAATCTGCATTACATTGAGCTATTTTTAGAGGGCAACAAAAAAGGAGGAGCTATCAGTCTTCAATTGAGAGACTAGTCTTTTTATTGTACAATCTGTTATGGGATTTGTTTATTCACTCATGAATAAGCTATTGTTAGATTTGTGTATAAAGACGTTTTAAATCACTAAATCTAGTATTCCGGAATGAAAGTGCACCCTTTACAAGGATAATTAGTGGAGTTTCTTGAGTTTTTTTTACTTGCTTTGTCCCATAATTGGGAGTTTTTTCTTTTTGGGGAGTCCCATAACTGAGACCATTTGAAAAGTCAATGTACCACATCTATAATATTCAGAATCTACCCTTTATAAGGATAACTTTGTAAACTCAAATTCCTTCTACAAATTTAATACTCACTCTGTCCCAATTTTAGAGACCCTTTCATCAAGTATTAAATGTCTTCATTCATAATGAAAGTACTAAGTTTCCTACGCTTGCCCTTCAACCTATACAATATACAAAGTAAGTGTTTGTAAATTTTCAAGCTGTGACCCCTTAAAGGGTATATAACGAAAGCCATGAATCTTCTGTATTAACTTTTCAAAAAAGATTAGATTAAGGTAGACTTTTATGGGACCAAGGGGGTATACAGAATTGGGACAAAAGGAGTATTGATATTAAGAGGAAAAAAGGAGAGAGAAAATAATGGATATAGACATCAAAAGAAAGACTGAAGGTAGAGATCAAGAGCCAGCGAAGATAGGGAAATGAGGAGTGTGTATCATGCAACCCAACCTCATTCACGCGAAAAAAAAAGAGGGAAAAAAGAGAAAGGAAAACAGACAATATGAGAGGGAACATGCAACGAGGACTTCTTCAAGCCTCTCAATAGAATTGAAGAGGGAACTAGACACAGATATATACAAATATGGGAGGGGAGAGCATAATCCTTTTTAAAAAATTCAATGAAGGTTAGAACGAATAGCTTATCATGTTTCATATTAGGCTGCCTATTATATTCCTCAAAAAACTGTAAGAATGACCAAAGGCCTCTCTAAATTCGATTTAAATGCAAAAATATATAATTAGAGTCAAACAACCTTTCTGTAACCCTAAAAGCCTTTCAAAAATTCATTACCAAGGCTCATTGTAGAAAAAGAAGTAATCAGGGAAAAAATTACAAATACTTATAATTATACTAACCCTTCCATAAATTAGAAGATTTCATTGATCAAAGAATCTCTACACTACTATCTAAGCCTAGAGCTGTCCCATCTTCCGGTGGAACCTGAATCACATCAACCAGACATGATTCCAAGATTCACCAGGTGACATTCCAAATACATTTTATCTTGATATAACACTGTGGACTGGAAGCCAATCATTAAAGACCCAAAAAAACAAACACACACTTTGGCCACACACACAGAAAAAAAGGGGGGGGGGGGGGGGGTGGGAGAGAAGTGTGATGTGTCTAATCTCCCCCATATAGAGGATGTTATATTTCTTTCTCCTTCCCTTCCCTCACAGAAATAAAAAGGAACTGAAAAATAAAGAAACATCTCTTACACCATCCCAACAAACCAATTACATGTGCATTGCATGTTTAGAAAAGCTTAAATTTCAATTTGGCATAGTGAGGACATGTGCAAGGCATATTTGGCCATATCTAAATTACTATCATAAATAGCATATACCTCAATTTAGCTACGCTTAGGAAGCTCACACTTTTATAGCAAAACCAAGACCATTTTTACTTATTTCTCTATGGCTGCTATTTCTTAAAATTAACTACAATCAAGGATCAAAATTTTGTTTCAGTGCATTGTTTCGGTCACCTAGGAAGTGGAAATGTTTTGACGTGTTTCGAAAATGTTTCGACTCGTTTCGGAAACAGAATGAAAAGAAAATAAAAAAATTTAAGAATTATTTTTTCAAAACATCGGTCGAAATGTACCAAAATATCTTGAAACATTCTGAAACAATTATGCAAATGCATACAAAACATTTTGAAATATTATAAAACACTTCTGAGTATTAGAATTTTGATTCCTTCACTAATTCGTTTCTATCTCCTTCGAAAGGGAAACGTTTCGGACTTTTCGACCGTTCCAAAACAAAATTTTAATACTTGACTATAATTGAATAGAGAAATAAAGTACATCCATCACATACCAAATCGTATAGAGAACTGATGCCCAACATTCATAGAAGAAATCAATGCAATATAATATACAACCTCACAATAACCTACATTGCACATATTTTGACCCCAAAACATATTTGTTTAAAGATAAAAGAAGATTGATAAATTGGACCAAAATCATGTTGCAATTAATCTAGTCACATTTTTTACACATTTCATCATAAATACCTATATGAGGAAGATTTTTTAACGAATAATAATGAGTTATAACAAAATCAATTTTTTTTTTGGCAAACGAGGTATATTAACAACTTAAAGCACTCTCCCCCCTACAAAAAAAAAATCTTTGTTATTTTCGTTATAAAAGAACCAAAATGTCATCTACAAAGTTTATAAAGCACAAAATACGATTCTATCAACAACTAAAAGTTAGCACCAAACAGCGCACCCTAATGGATCTCTTATGTGGAATTTGCACAACCATTGTTTAGTGATCACAATGAAATAAAATAATGAAAGAAGACTGATAGCCAAATAGAATTTTGCAACGATGCTGCCAAAAGGAGAAATCGAGACATTTTTGAAGGACATTCATCCCAGATTTCGTTGTGGTTCACAATAATGCTTCTTAATTCTCTAAGAAATCAAAAAATTCATCAACTACTTATGTCCAAATAATGAGCATACCGCCTCTGCACCAAACGAATGAAGTGTTGAGGGGGAACAAATGCACGCTCCATATCAACAAGTGCAACAACCATGCTCTTTGCTTCATTCTTAAATCCATCAAGTGCAGTGGTCGCAATTGCCACAACCTAATTCAATCATAGAACCATTGAATAATGACAACAAATACAAAGCATGGAAAACAAAGACCATATGTCCACCTAACCAGATTTGAGAATTTGCAGCTGGCAAGACATAATTACCTCTCTCTTAAAAGGAGGATATCTTCCAAGCCCTGGAGTAGCATTGGCAGCAGCTGAAACTATATCAACAAGTACACGGTGCACCTGTTTTGGAAGTTCCATCCGAGGTAGATTACATTATATGTATAAAGAATTACAATGATTTCATACATGGCAAGTGGAAATATGAAAATGTAGAGAACACAAGTAGCCTAATATAAGTAGATCAGTGTCATTGAGAATTCAAGATGCCTTGTCTTTCTCAGATAGCTTTCTCATGCAAATTGGACTGCATATGAACAAAAGTGTGAGGGGTCATCCCAGTGCGATTGTGCATGATCCCCCAGATTAGTATATGAGACTCAAAGCCCTCTCCCCTCGTGGGAAATGGGTTTTTGTTTGTCCACTCGACAAAAACATTGACAATTTCAATTTAGACATTCTTAGAGAAATAAGGCACAAGTGTGAATTAACTCCATCTGAGAAAATTTCAACCGTAACATGCACAAAGGCAATTTTTTACCCTTTTGGTTAGTCAAAAGGTACAGCCAAGTGAACCCATCCTAAGACTACCCTTCTGTAACAGGCTGCATTCACAAAATAAAAAATACGCAACTGCTTTTCAAAAAAGAGAGCAAGAGACAGTGACGGAGCTCCTACATGGCCTGGGGTGGCCATGGCCTCCACTAGATTTGGGATAACCCCTAGGTAGATATTATGGTTACTGAAAGAGTTTTACTTGACAATGAGACTTGGCCCCCCCTTGGTTAGCTTGTCCTACAAGATGAGGTCTCTAGACTAGTCAACAAAGAGGCATTAAACTATTTTTTATTTTTTCCTAATTAGCAAATTAAAATCTCCCCCTATTCCATTCATTCCATAACAAATATGTCCTTAATAAATAGAAAGACAATAAAATTAGAGCACATTCTAATTTCTTTTAAGCATCCATTCTTCTAAATAAATAGCAGTCATTGCCCCCATAAATTCAAAGTTCATTCTTCAATCTTCCACACAAGAAAAAAATCACTGATCAGACACAAACAAATTTAGCCGCTGTTTTATTGTCCATTGATTAACTGGTTTGTACTATTATTGATCCTTACTGTAAAAAAAAAAAAAAATCAAATTTTGATTATCTTTTTAATTAGAAAAAATTGTGTTGATTATCTTATTTTTGTGTCTATAGTTCTGTTCCTATTGAATAATTTATTTTGTTACATTGGAAATTCGAATTTTTGTGATAAGATTTGGCCCCCTAAGTATAAAATCCTGACTCCATCCCTGGCAAGAGACATCTCTTACTGAGGTGGACATGAAAGATACCATAGAAGTACTAATCAAAAAAAGAAAAGAAAGAAAGATACTATAGAAGTTAGGGTTCGATAAGCCAAGTTTTTATGTTATGTGCAAGTAAACTCAATAAAATCTATCACTTTTCTTTCCTTTTTTTTATTTGTAACTCTACTCTTTCTAGTTCTCCTCGGCCTTTTTCTTTTTTAATTACAGACCAACTCAATAAGAAAGGGAAAACAAAAACTGGTTGTACAATTAAGTTGGTTAAGTTTTAAGGCCAACTATCTTTTTTATATCAAAAGAAGTCGAAAACCAAGCAGACAGGGTACAAGTAACAGGTTGTGACATCAACAGCTACTTTATAAATGCAACATTTCCACGCATGTTATTGTGTTGCTCTGTCTAATTTCAGGAAGCCACAGCATCAAGCGATATGGGCTTCGGCTGTGCCAGAAGGGAGTTTTGTGGAATGCAAACTTGGAGCAACAAAATGTAAACTTTAAAGTTGACAGAGCTGAAATATCGTACAATATAGGTTTACCTCATCAACACATAGACGGGAAGGTTCTTTTGCCAGCTCTAAAACACCCTTTATTAAAGACCGTAAGCCTTTCTCTGGAGATATAAGATAAGGTTGATACCCATCTGCTTCTAGCACTATCTGTTACCAACTAAAATGGGTCAACATACAAAAAAATAAAGAGAAACTACAAAATAGTATTTAGAAAAAATGCATTATCTATAGTTAAAAATGAAAATACATACCCTCTTGACATTGTTCATGTCAAAATGTCTGTCTAATGGCAGCTGCTTGATCCTGTTAGGGAAGTTTCCCTCAAAACTCGCAACAACTTTCCAACCACCACCCTATGAGAAATATCAACAAGAAAATTAAAATAAGCAAGATAGTGGAACTTTATTTTTACGTCATAATATATAGAACAGAAACAACCAGTGCTTGTAAATGCAGCAGATTCTTTCATTATCAAACCCCACCACCCCAACCCCCCACCCCCAAAAAAAAAGGAACAGAAACAAGATAAAAATGCAAATAAACTTCAAAAATCATGACTGATGATGAGCTACTATTTGACCCAAACAGCCATACTACTGGATTTGATCCCACATGGAGAAATGAAAAATTACATAATAGGACTGCTTATAAATAAGAAAAGGCTCAATCAGCATACATAGTAAGCCCCAAAATACAAATGAGTAGACAATGAGCTAAAGCACTCAGCTTCAAATTATAGAGACAAACTACTTTAAAAATACAATGATACTCATCCATGAACAATACAATAGCTGTCCTAGAAAAAGAAGAAAATGTTTTTTTTAAAGTTCTTAAAAAGAAGCTGTCTCCTTATAGTTTCTCTTCCATCAGCAGCAGAACACCCAGCAATTATGCTCTCCACATTAGCATAACACAAAATGTCCACAACCTAAGAAGGTTGACTGCTGGAGTGGGAGCACTCAATGCCGAGCAAAACAGAGAAAGGTAGATACCACTGCTCAAATGCCATGGAACATTTCCCTAACAGAACCAAGAAGCTTTCTCTAACCAAAACCCCATCATAAATAAATGAAATAAATGTAGGCTGCACTGAGTTTCTTAGTGTTGTCCTACATCACCTTCAAAATAAACCCAATTATCTCTCATGTATAAAACCATAAATAAAACACAGCTTGTATCAGCGCCAGCAAGTACACATGAGACCCTTTCACTCATTAACTCTCCATCCTCGTGGGATAGATTCAACTCCGAAGTTCCACATGCGAAAGAATGCTTTACTCACGCTGTAATTGGAAAATTGTGAGCTTTCTCTCATAAATAGCATGAAAAACTTCAGAGTTGGTCACAACTTAAAAAACATTTACAATTCATTAGTGGTCTTAGCTCTAATACAAATTTCTGCGTTTAAAAAAGATCATCGGTTTAAGCATCGTGCACCAAATAAATCAGTAACAAATTGCAATCAGATATCAGCATTGAAAAGAACCCTTTTTGTGGGGTCTGTGTTCTTCATAGATCTGTTTCTTTTGCTTGTAAATTCTCACCTCACCACTTGTAATATGTTGGAGAAATCTGTCCTCAAATTCACGGCAAAGCTCCAAAGCCAGAGCTCTTGTACCTTCAGCACTATTAACCATTGATTCACCAAGTCTTACTAATTCATCTTGTACTACTTGAGACTTCCCCTGAAGCCTGTGGTATTCAAATAAAAAAAATTCAAGATCTCAGAAAGGTACTTAGAATATTGGTATACCAACAGAAAATAGCATAAAACACCCTTCTATGTGCATCCATTCATGAGTTTCTACTAAAACTCCGCTCATCCACAAAATCTTATTGGTGAAAACCAGGAATGCTAGCCCTCCAACATTATTGAAGAAAGCTATGCATGAGCAATGAAGGGTGTATAATGCAGCAATAATTAATGTACTTCAAATCATGTAACTACAATCTCTCTTCAGGCTGTTGAAGTGAAATATTTAGCTAAAAGGCAGATATGTCTGAATTCCATACTTACGGAGAATGCCAAGTAGCCATTTTCCCCCTTTCCTGACACTCCAGAAACCCCTCCCCACATCCCCCACGCCAACCTCCTCCAAAAAATCATGAAGAGGAAACTAAAAGATAGGAGAGAAATTGACATTTGAATATTTCAAAAGTTATGCTAGCATCTGGCTGATAAACGCGATCCACATTAGGGTTTCTCGATTATAGGAATGGATCTTTGAGAATTACATATAAAAGGTCAATTGAGAATATCGTGGACATAAGGCTGGTGAGACAAAACATAATAGCTTAATATATAAACGTCAAACTTGCAGGGAAACTAGTAGAATGTATGTATGAGTATGACAAACTTCCAATATTGAATGGCAAAGTGGAAACCAAAAATCAATCAGTAAGTGCAAAAGTGATTATACCCTGAGAGGAGATTTGGAAGCCTGATTTTCATGCGGTTGCGAATCTGATGAGCAAGGGTCTCTACCAGAGCTAATCTACCTAGCTTGTTTTGAGGGGCTCCTGGTAATATGGATTTTAGACTTTCAGTCTCAGCTCTCCAAGCAGTTTCTAGAGAGTTATCAGATCCAACATTTCCAGACTGGGCAGAAGCTATAGACACAGATTGCCCAATCAAAGCAACCCATGGGATATCAGATGTACTTCGTGGTCCTTGATTCAACAGAAGAGCCTGAACAGCTGCAAGAATTTTTGGATCTGAAGCTGCTTGGTCTATTTTACTAATAACACCAAGGGTTCTAGTACCTAAATGCAAAAGCATGCAAAGAAGAACAATTATTAGAATCTTTGAACAAAAAATAATATGAAATTGTTTTTGTAAGAAAAAAAGATGCAATTGTTGTTGTAAACCCACATTCTCCATCATATTCCTTCGCAATTCTGAGGCCTTTATATGAGGAAATTTCTGGTGCCAGGGCAGCAGGTATCACAACTAGCAATATCGCATCATTGTGTTCAACATATTCGCTCTGTAAGAAATATGGGGCTATTAATCTCCTTACAAAAACAGAATCACAAAAACTGAAACTGCAAAGAACAACAGCCTAAAAAGAAAATGAGCTATGCATCATTTGTCAAAAGTATTAGGAGAAAGTAAAGATAATCTGTTTAGCAGCCACTCACCAATGAATCATCAAGATTTCCTTTATCTACTCCAGGAAGATCAATCAATTTCACAGGAGGACCTGCGTAAAGGAGGAGAAAAGGGAAAACAAAAAATAAGCAAAAATAAAGAGTTGCGTACACCAGACAACAAACATATCGTAAAAGCAGCAGGAGCAATTTTGAAGTCCCAAACTTCAATACACCTTTCATATCAAGCAAATAAAAGAGCAGTTAATCATGGATGAAAATTTAAAAGCTGATTATGCCATTTCTCAGGATGACAGGGCTTCAATATCTCCTGTTCCAATGATGACAACCAAAGGTGGGGTGGAGGTGTAGGTAAAGGTGTGGTAATAGCATAGGTGGCAGCAATGTAATATCCTGACCTAGAAAATAAAGAATAATATATAGTCCCAATTTTTTATTTTTTATCATGTTCCATTCACAATTGTAAACACATCATACGTGTAATATTATGGTCCATTCATAATTGAAAAACACACCAGATCCACTCTGTGGACCATGTCAAAAAAAATCCAATTGACCATTGCAATGATCTTTACAATTGACACAAAACACATAAAGCTGAGGGAGGGAGACAGAGAGATCATATCATACAATTTCAATTCGCGGTGAGATGACACCACAGCGACAGTTGGCTCCCTTACTACTCATTGTTATAGAACCATTGCCAAAAACGAGTCACCAATTGCAAAACCAGCAATTCCAAGAAGTCTAAAAGCAAAATCCTAGATCTGCACCAATTCTGATTTTTCAGCTTACTATCTAATGGTGCTTATTTGTTTTTCTTCTCAAAAGAGAATACCTACACCACGATGTCTATTTTATCTCCAGTACTCCGACTACCATTAAATTCATGTATCAGTCAAATTGAAAAAATAGAACATCTATCGTCTAATTATGGGTTGTACACAGTATTGTAACTTGCAAACATATCAATCTACATATTTTGTACTGGTTTTAAACAAATCCAACAGTATGTATTCTCAAAAGTTCAGTGTTTTTTTCTATTTTTTTCCCAAGAGTTTTTTCTTAAAAAAAAGTATACATTCACCATGAAAGCTCAAAACTTTTCCTCCATGAGGGTAATGCATAATTTTGAATTTCTCAGTCCCCATCCTGTGCCAAACACTTCGTGTTCAAATAATCTCAGCTCCAAACATTACCTTTGGATAGCACCAAACATGTTTAACATCCCATCATGTATCATCAACATTAAACCACATGTCTACAAATGCCACAGTCATTGGAAAGCAAACCATAAGGATACAGGCGCATGCGTTACTACAGTGATTAGATAAAAATTTGTTATATTTTTTCCAATTATTTACAAAATCAGAGTTAAATACAAAAAAATACTATATAGTACCCCTAGATTTCTGCTTCTTTTTCCCTTTCAATCTAACAGAAGATAATGTATCTCAAAATTTCATGTTCTCCGGATATAAAGCAGAAGAAAAAAAAGTGGGAAAAAGCAAAGGTGAAAGCACAAGAGGTTCGTCATAATTTTTTCACTCACAAAGCAAATATGGACATTAACCAGAAAAAAAAAGTTGGGGAAAGGAAAAGGTGAAAGCACAGACAAGTACATGATAGATTTTTCACTTGCAAAGCAAATAATGAACTTAATTCAAACTAACCTGTACTTGTCCGGAGCTTCAAATAAATTTCATCACGACTCTTGCCCGAAATTTTGCTTAGCCTATCCTGTAAAGAATGCCGAAGAGCACCTATGAAACGCCAACAAGAAAAATACGAAAATAAGAGTCATCAGATACCAATTCAAACGGTCTTTAGAAGATAGATCAAAAAAAAAAAAAAAGACACCATCCAAACGGTATTTAGAAAAAAGATCAATTCATTGGAAATTCCACTTTTACTTATATACAAATCCAGTTCAAGAAGAAGCCTCACTTGCAGAAACCTGTTGTGATTTGCTGTCAATTTGCAAAATAATTGATTTGCTGCTTAAAGAAGCATCCCTTTTGAGATCAATGCATATAGGAGCACGAGTGGCACCACCTTCGCCAGTTGGCTGTCCAAATAAAGGTCAAAAAATGAAACGTAAGCATAATTTACATGCAATACCCTCCATTCCAGTTAGTTCCATTAAAAAAATTGACAGATGAGTGATTACATATTAACATGATCTTGTTAAGAGGAAAATATTCTACAAGCATTAGAAGTTTGTTAGAATAATGAGAATGCAAAGGCTCACAATGGAAAAGACTTACCAAAGCAGGATGTCCAATTAGACTGTTCAACACAGCTGATTTACCCGCACCCTGGCCAATTCGTCCACAGTTAGAAAATATTTGCCATGCAGTCACCAGAAGAAGCATGTCATTCAAAACATTGGAAAGAAAAAAACCCAACAGGCAAAACTCCAATTCTATAAAATCAGACAGCCGTGTTATTCAAGCTGTAGTGCTGAACAACATCCCAGCTCCCAAACATTCCATGTAAATATGGACCAAGAATTAGCAATTCCACCAAATGCATCATTTTCAATGATAACTTTCCCCTGTGCAGAAGTGGGTAATAGAATTTAGTATTTCTTCGTGTTCAAATAACTTTTGTTTCTTCTTTTTAGAGATTTCCGATTCAGTCTTTACAGGGTTTCTTTGCCCTAGAAACTCATATTTTTGTTTCAACTTTTGTTTAATGTTTTTTCATGTTATCTGATTGCTGGAAACTCATTAAAAGATGGTGATTCTTACTCTAAACGAGAACTTACAACTTATTCAAGAATTTTGCTACATCACACTTCCAACATAAACTAATGCTCCAACTCCAAGACCAACATCAATGCTACCTGCGCTACAAGCCTCCTCATGAATAATGATATTGAATCACACTTCCTTGCAGTGCATTTGTATGATGAATATATAAGTTCCACAAGAAAACCCACATAAAAACGATTCAAATGAAAATATCCTTTATTCTCAACTTCCAAAAAAAGAAATCAAAAACCAATAACAAAGGTGAAGTTTGTAATACTGGTGAAGCAGTCTATGTGGCAATGGCACGTATAACCATAAATTAGGTAGCAATAAGAACTAATGGATGACAACAATGGTGCAAGAGAAGTGGTGGTGGCATTAGAAGTGGAGTTGTTTCCGATGCCATAGTGTTAGTGGTAGTGTTGATGTGGTGTTGGTCAAAACACAACAATGGTTTAGTTAAAGTAAATTGTGCCCGTTGTCACCATTGAACAATGTATTGTTCCATGGGATGAGGGGCAATATTTCTTAGAAAAATAGAATCTTAAATACTAAAAGTTTGAAAATTGCGCCATATAGGTTTTAAAATATATTCTTAAAATTAGCACCAATGTAAACACAGCATTGAAAGTTCGATTTCATTTACTCAAAAAAAAAATAATAAATAATAATACTGAGACTTACATAGTTTTGAATTATGATTGACAACAAAAATATGCAATATATATGCTAAACCTTTCTCTCATTTAATAGTGGAAAGGGGACGCATGGCCCATACCCCACCTTATAATAGCGGGATCTACCAGCCTTTGCAGTGATAAAAGCACTGCAGTTTCAGTGGCGGTGGTGGTGGCAATTGTGTTAACTTGATGTTAATGATGCTATTAGCTGTATTGGTATGGTTAACAAGGCAACAGGGTGAATACCCTATTATCTGAGAAAAAGGATTTTTATTAGCAGCACACGTAATGAAACTCAAAAAGGCTTCGCACCCTTCAAATTCATAACTGAACATCTCAAAGGATTTTCATAATCATTACTCCCATCAACCAATATATATCCGAGAACTCCATATCCCTTTCCAACAACCAATTCCTCATCCAAATGCACCTTCAAAAAGGTGAGTTTTGTCAATGCTAAAGATTTTCACAGCTACAACACACATACACACACAAAAAAAAAAACTTGCAGACTAATATGAGACATTTCAGCTTTAAAAAAACACTAACTTCTTGTCCAATCTGAATGACTACAAATAAGATAATGGTATAATTGCTCTTCATTATTAATTAGCTTTTATAAAAAAATATATTAGTGCTTCCTCAATAAAGAGGAGGGTTTGCTTAGCAGAATTGAATTGGAATGTGGTTTGATTGTACTCATATCCATTTGGTGGTTTTGACACTGCCCAGTCTCAACACACTCGAACACTTTTGTCTTCTAGAGGGGCATACTTCCACACCCACAGCCCAAACTGCTACTTCTAATCCACCTCCACTGTCTGTCTCAAAGAACCAAGCAAAAATAGCACAGTAAATCACCTCTACCTAATCTAATCCACAGCAAACGCCCTCAAATGCTTCATTTATATGCTAGGCATTGGCATATTACACATCTAAGGCGCCGCCTAAGAAACTTCACACCAATTCTTCAAATTCATCCTTAGGGACGGCCAATCATTTCTCCTATAAGGTGACAAATTTTCTAATCAAAGCCACTATTACTAATCAGCGCACTACCCAACCTATTAAGAGAGTCATAATGTCCATTTAAAATTCTTTAAGCTTTAATTTACTAGTACTTCAAGCGAGAAACATAAACAAAACATCACATAATGTATTCACAACTCTCATAACGCTTAGCTCGGACGAATAATTAGCAACCGACTTCAACATCCAAACAACCCAGATCCGGAGATCTAATCACCAAATTAAATCATCAAAGCATAAAGAAATTCGATCAGTTGAATATTCAAACCGATGGTACGGATTTGTGTTTAAACTTACGGTATGGCCGAGAGCAACGACATTGAGAAACGTTGAAGGCCGCTTCGAAGACGACGACGATGAATTCTCGTCAATATCTTCGTCGGCAAGCAACGCTGATGCTTGCCGCATCGAATCGGAAAGTTGTGCCAATTCTTCGATCGCCTCCATTGATTCTCAAAATCAACAGCTCAGATTAAGAGAGATAGAGAACCACGATGCAAGACTAGATCGAAACCGAAACCAGATCGAACAAGCACGACTATGAAAGTAAAACCCGAAATTGGTAATTGAAGAGAGAGAGAAACCCTAGATTTTGATATGAAAATGAGACGAGACGAGACGAGATCGAGTGTTCCAGAGAAAGGCCGGAGATTCAAATGTTTGAACTTTTGAAAAATGGAGAGAGAAGATATGATGATGTACAGGAGGAGTTCATGCCAGAATGGAACTAAGCAATTAAAGCCAAATGCTCTCTCCTCTCTCTCTAGACTTTCTCTCTCCTTGTAATAAAAATGGTCCATCTTCTGCAGCATGAGTCCTAAATATTGGCAATTTTTTGCCATAGACGGCACATCCACCCTTTTTTTTTAATTAGGGATAGTCTTGCACAATGTAATGTTTCTACTATGTCGGGATTGTTATGGAATAATCGTCTAATAATAAATAAAAAGCTATGCAAAGTGAATTCTAATTTTTTAACTGATTATTATTTTACACGGAAAACGAAGTTATTTGAATAATTCGGGTCTATATTATTCAGTTATTAAATTATTAGACCATAGTGTAATTGTACGATGAATATTTTCCCATCTTCATTTTCATCCATACTATAAATTAATCATTAATGTGATAAATTGAATTTTTTAAAAAATAATTTAAATAAAAAATAGTTAACAATGATGATTAAAAAAATCAAAAAATGGAGAATAAAGATAGTTTGAGTGGTTACGTAGTTCACATGTAAGAATTTTATCGGAGAAACTAGCGTACTTTTGTTATATAATAATTCAAAATTTAGAGAATTCAGTATGAAGGGATGGAATGTTTTTCAACTCTCTTATAAAATGATTGTTGTATATTTTATCTAATAAAGTACAATACAATTCAAATCTTAAAAAATAAATAAAATGACTTTTATTTTTCGCAGTTGAGATTTCTTTAAATTTTATTTTAAAGTTAATCTAACGACTAATATTAACACCCTAAATTTAATATGAAAAATAAGACCCTAAAAATATGTTTGGAGTGACTTTTTAAAAGTACTTCTAGCAAGTATAACTACTTATGAATACTTTTAAAAAAATATATAGTATTTTGAACCGCTCCACCACTACCACCTACCACTATCACCACTACCACTGTCGTAGTCGCCGCCACCCCCATCACCACCTCCACCACTGTCGTTGTCACCACCACTACTGTCACCCCACCACCACCATAACACCAACCGCCCCACTATTACCACTACCGTTGCCGCCACTCTACCACTATCATCACCCAACACCACCATCGTCATTGTCATCGTCACCACCACTATTCTCGTCATCCTACCACCCCCACTGCTACCGTCACCTCCCCTTCGCCATCGCCATCCACCATTGATTACTATTATCGTCGTCCACCGCTACTACTCACCACAATTTTCATCTCATTCTTATATTTATTATAATTATCACCGTTGTCCACTGTCAACACCCACCACTACTATTGTTGATCACCACCACTCATCGCCGTCCATTATCAAAACCCACCACTACTTATCATTGCTCACTATCACCGCCAGTCACTATAACCCACCCCCCATCAAATTTACCACCACTAATCGTCATCGTCCACCACTATTGTCACCCACTGTCATCGATCCCTACCACCACCACCACTGCTATTTACAACAACCTTTCATGTTGTCATCCAAATGTAACTGTTGTCGACCACCACCTCCATCATCACTGCCCACCAGTGTCGTTGCCCCACCACCACTATTGCTAACCACCATCACCATCGCCCACGACCATTATCGTCGTTATCCATGACTGTCACTACCACCATCATCACCAAAAATCCAGCACCAGCATCACCATTGCCCCCCCATGATTACCACCATTACCACGAACGTCGTCATCCACTACAATCATCACCGTTTTTCAGCATTACCATCGTTCACCTCCACTACAATTGGTACTTAAATTATTTTCTTTGTTCTATGTTTGTAATTTGATTTTAAGTTTGAATATAAATATATTTATTGTTGACCATTTTTTTTTTTATTATTTCTTGTCTTTAGACATAAGCAATAACTAGTCTATAATAAATTGAGGCTAAGTTCTCCTTAAGAAACTTATAATGAAGTTAGTGCGTCAAGGAAATTTATTTTGCAATAAGTCTGTTTTTAATCTTACTAATAAGTAGTTAAATTCCCCCTTTTTTTTTTAAACTTCAAAGTACTCTTACTTGAAAAGAACTTTAAATTTGTCGTAACTTGGGAATTAGTATTCCTTAATTCACTATCAATGAAGATATGCCAATAAATTTTTTTACATAAATTTTTTTTTTTCTCTCTCTCTCTCTCTCTCTCTCTCTCTCTCTCTCTCTCTCTATATATATATATATATATATATATATATATATATATATATATAATTTTTTTTTACCATTTTAGTGTTACCATGTTACTATTTTTGTTGAACATATTATTAGTATTATTTTCTCAAATATTAATACCAAGTGTAATTATTTTTTTGTTTTTGAATATTATTCTTTTTTTGTATTTAAATGGTACTATTTTTTATGTTTGAATTGTACTATTTTTTGTATTTAAATTTTTACTATTTTTTTTTAATATTACTATATGTGTGTGTGTATATATATATATATAATCATGTTCTATATATGAATATAGATAGATATGAGAGAGAGAATTTTAATGTTAGTCAACCTCTTATAATTTAAGAGTTTAGTTTTCAAATTTATTTTAATTAAACATAATTACTACCCCAGCTATTATTGACCAACCACTCAACATGCATGCTGATTAGTTTTGATAATTATAAACTACCTCCATCAATTTATTATCAAATAGAATTAATACGAGTACTATTTTTTTAATTGAAAATTGGAAATCAACTAGGGCACACATGTCATCTTAACCTTATGACATGTGATTTATTTATTTTTATTTATTTTTTATTTTATGACGTGTGATTTTATGATTTAAATATGTACATACATTTGTGTGTGTGAGAGAGAGAGATTACAAATCTTAATAGGACGGGGCTATGCCCATCCTTTAAACATCTTTACTCACCCTATTTAATTCTTTTGTTTTAAACTACCAAAACAACTCCATCGGTACTCACCCCATTAGTTCATCGAACGGTTTCAAATAAACTCATATAACCACCACCAATATCTCTAGTAAAATTATTTACATTGTAATGTACTTTCAGGCATGGATTACCCTAATTCTACTTATAAAACAAACATAGCAACTTGTCTTCACATAGAAACTTGTCTTCTTACACACAGCTGGTGAAGACAATTCAAAAACATACTTTAGATTTCATTTGTTTCTCTGTATTACTATTCATGAAAAAACAAGTAGTTTGAAATTTCAAGGCACCTAATGTGAAATAACAGGCACATACCAGCCTTTTGTTTTCACACTTTTCCTTAGCTTGAACAGTTTGACAACAGAACAGCTCAAACATACAAGGTCTAGAGACAATGAAAAAAAGCAAATCGGTCAAATTACTATAATCCCAACACATAGGGGTGTCAATTATGCTATGTTGTGTTCCTTTTGATCGTGTTATTTTTGTATCGAATACGTGTCAATAAAAAATTATTTAATTCTATTATTCCATTATAATCCCAACACATAGGGGTGTCAATTTTGTCACATTATTACTCGTGTCAACTATTCGTGTTATTTTCGAGTTTTGTGTCAGATCAAGTTCGTGTTAATGGATAAAATTGACACCCCTACCAATACAATAGCAGTGATCCAACAACGACTTTTAGAAGTCTCTAATGGAGTGGAATAAATTATTAATGGATGAGTATAGATAGGATGAATTTAGTTACTAACAGAGTGAACTTAATAGTTTCAAATAAAAAAGTTAAATAGGGCGGGAAAAGATTTTTAAGGGGTAAAAATAGTCCCATCCATCCTTATATAGTAAATTTTTTTTTTGGTAAGTATTATAGTGATAAAGTTATCTCATCATAAGTGTAAAATACATGTATATCAAACACTCCTCAGATTATGAGATGGCAAAAAAATCTTACTCTTGCAACTTTTTTACATGTGTGTGTGTACACACAATGCAGTGGATGGAAGATGGCAACGTAGATGCAAACATGTGTTTATTTTGTTCATGTGTTAAAGGCGAGGTGGATAGGGTTGATAGTCGAATGAATTTAACTTGAGTCTAAAAAGTTTGTTTCTTAATCGAATTTAAAAAAGTGTTCAAATTCATCTCGTTTAGAAAACGAGCTGAGTCTAAATAAGTCTAAAACGAGTCCAGTCCGAATATTTGTACATAAACGAGTAGAGATCGAATATTTATACATAGACGAATCGAGCCTATTGAGTTCGAGCAGAGTTTATCAGGCTCGTTTTTCTAAACGAGTCTAAAAAATTATTAAAGTTCAGTTCGTTTAAAAACTGAGCTGAACTTAAACGAGTAAAAACGAGACGAATCTGAACCGAGCTCAAATAACTCGAATTAATTATCAGCCCTAGCTGTGATGTTTGCATTAATTGGGCAATTTAACTAAGGTAAGGTAGTAAGATGCCACCGCACTTTCAAAGATAGTGGTAGCTAGGTGGCAACTATAGTAGGAAACTAGTAATTAGAAAGACCAACATTTTGGTTGAAATGAAATATCTTAATGTCATGATTCTACCTGATCATTATATTATCATTTATAGGAAAACTAGTCATGTTTTTAAAGGTACAAATGCGATATCAAATTCAAGCCTCTAAAAATCGATCCCACTATATAAAATAATAATATATATTTTTTTTATCTTTAATTACATAATTTGAAATTGATTTTCATCCATTATTTAAAAAAAATTGACAATTTTTTCAAAATAGATGATCTTAAACAAATATTAATACTTGTACAATATAATATATAAATAATGTCTAAAATAAAAATTGTATTGAACCCCAAATTAATTTAACTTATGATAAAAATGAGCGAAAAAAAAATAAATGGAGATACAATTTAAACTCTTAACTCCCTTATTATATAAATTTCAAACAGACACTACAAGTAAATTAAAGAAGGTATTTAGATAAATAATGTTATAAGGGTTTGCAGAATTTAGTTGTACATTCCATCTATCTTTTTATTAAAATTCATATATGATTGCATTTTTATATAGCCTTTTTGTTCTTTTTTTAGTCTTTATTACTATAATTGCTTCAATTCTAAAATTAAAAGGACTAGACTCAGAACCTAGGTCTTTAGACCTATTAAAGTAGTTTTTACCATGTGATGCAACTCTAGGTTTCTTCTTACACAGGCTTGATTCATATCAAGAGTTACTGTGTTTGGACAGGGTTAAAAGTTACTTCAAGTCTCTTTTATTCTAATCTCGAGTTGGTTAATGGTATAACAAGGTATTTTTCACATGCATATAGATTCAGATCTCCTTTAATATTTTTCTTTCATTATGTACCATGCTTAAATATTGTAGATGATGTATCAAGAGAGAGAGAGAGAGAGAGTCTTGGTCCCGGCTAGACAAGGGTCATGCTCATTTTATTGAGAAATTGTTACCCCCTAGGATTGGGATTAAAAAAGAAGAGAAATTTATATAATAAGAGAGCTTGAAATTTGAATTTTATATCCATATATTTTTTTTTTGGTCATTTTTATCACATTACATATTTCTATCACAAGTGAAATCATTTAATTTTTGATTAAATATTTTAGAACAATTAGTGGAATCGATTTTCTGGATACTCATTTTTTTTCACACTATATCTTCAAAAACGGGTTATTGCTAGTTATACTCTATTGTATGGAAACCCATCCTTTCTCTCCCACACACACATTTTTCTGTCTCTTTCAATCATTGGGTGAAATGAAGGAAAAAGTATTGAAGAAGATCTTTCTCCACACATCATAACATATTTATTTCACATTCATCATAACAATCTACCATCTAAAAGACTTTCAATCACATGCCATGTAAGGCAGATCTGCCTTCTGTCTTTGTCTCAGAGATTTTTCATTCTTTATCAGATATACATGAATCACATAAATTATCAGCACTTCTGCAGTTTATCTAAATGTAACAGCATTAAACATTATTTCAAATAATCACCCTCGAGACACTACTTACCACCAAAACTGCCGTCAAAATTATCCTCCATGGCAATTCCTCATCCATCACAACAACATAGAAGTCAAGAGGAACAATTTAGAAGTTTAAATCATGAGGAAGTTCCCCCTGCTACACATACAAATAACTTTCAGCCACTTGGGGGGGGGGGGGGGGATGTAGAATCTACCTTCAGGCATCATCCGAAAGATAGACGTGTGATATAAGCCACCTTCAAGCTGTGATGCAAAAGGCGAGTACCATTAACTTCTTCGCACATCAGTTTCAAGCCTGGACAAAGGAGGGCTATGGTAATCCAGGTGGTGAATGTACAATCCAAGCAAGTCTGAATTACTTGCCTATGGATCGGAGGTTGTATACCAAAAAATAAAGCCATGGTCTTGGTAAAGAAGAGTTATCAAACAAATCTGCACAAAAAAATTGGTGACAGTACATTTTTAACCAAACCGTTTGGGAGTATAAGGTCACTGAATTCACCTGCATATTACAAAAATATAGAGCGCAGCTTGACCCTCTTCCATCAGAAACCTTTACCCCAAAGAAATTACTCATACGTGAAGCATTAAAATCTATGAATCATCTGAATTTACAAAATAATGGCCGCAATAGATATATGGTGATACAGAGACTTAACAGTCACAAAAAGTTTGCAGCGTGCTTTCTCCTGCTACTTGTGAGGGTCCATGTGTGGGTAGATTCCCAAAATGTGCTCTGGCATAAAGTCGTGTCGAGTCAATATTCCCACAATTGGAGGCCTCTGCAAGATATAAGAAATAAAGATACTGATTACACTCTAAGAGTCAAAAGACTTGGGAAAGGAAGTCATGAAAAAATAAATTCCTGCCAGATCAGTTGAAAGATAGATATAAAGCTTTCTAAATGAGATTGAGCACAACGAGTCAACGATATCTGATAATTGGCTATTTTCTAGTTGCAAAAGGTATAACAGCAGACTCATTTGACACTGTTTTCAGACCATTTCTTCATAAATTTTTTTTTCAATCAAACAGTTAAAGCTGTAAACATGAAGAACACACAGAACAAGAGAGACAAAATGTGAGTTAACCACAACAACATTTGTTTACATCAACACTATTGTATGGCCACATGTCATTTATTTTAAAATGGGAAACAGACTCAAATGTTGCTTTGGTAAAAAAGGAAGTCCTATTATTTCAATGCAGATGAATGAAAAAAAAAAAGAAAGCAAAGCACGTCAAAAGAAAAAAAATCCAAAAATAAAAAGAAACTTACCCCAGGTGTCTTTGGCACCACACACAAGTGCCTAAGGCCAAGCCCCCGAAAAAGGATTGCAGCTTTGGCTAGAGACATTGTCTCCACGACAGTGTATGGGGATGTATTAGCAATGGGATGGAGATCGACATACATCTCCATTTCTTCCTCTGTAATATCCAAATCTTCCAGCTTTGGCCCCTTACCTGAGCCCGCCTTTGCAAAATCAAATGCATGAAACTTTCTTAAAATTTCTGTTCCACTCAACACGCTCTGCTTTGTAAATTTCTTTCCCTTAAGTAACACAAGTAAGTGATACCTCAAAACAAGCCCACACAATTCTGGTGCATCTGAGAAAGGTGGTTCATCAATCACTGGGAACCCATTATGTCTAGTCATCTTTAGAGCATGAATTATATTTCCGACTTTCTCGACAGCAGAGAATGTTATCAAGGGGCCAGAAACGACATCCCCTGCAACCAACTGCCTCATGTATGGTTCTGCATGGGCTTCCATGTAAGGCAAACCCTTCATTTTAACTATTTGGTCGTAGACACCTTTGTTGAAACAATCAGCCACAGTTTTAGAAATGAGGAGAACTAGCATCACCAATGGCAGCATTAATAGATTATTAGTGAGTTCAAGAAGTATGACACAAAGTGATACCGTCATTCTCATGGTGCCACCAAGGAAGGAGGCAGCCCCAAGGAGGGCAAACAGACCAACATCAAGATTGGATGTAGGCCCAACAATGGTCCCAACCAGACGACCATAAGAGGCTCCAGCAAGTATTACAGGAATAAAGAGCCCAGAAGGAATAGCAATGCCATAAGTGATAATTCCGAGGAAGTACATAGCGGCAAAAAAGATACAAAGCGTAGCCAGCTGAAATTCCTTTTCATTACTGGAATTCAATAAGTTGCGGATGGCATCATCATTGGTGTTCAGCAAAATGGAGGCAAGGTCATTGTAATGACGTGGTGGACATTGAAAGTTCTTGTAGTTTCCAGAGCCATCTGTGGTAGGGCATGCTTCATCCAGGCCAATCGGACAGGGGGTGCAGTTTGCAAACCATGGGAGGCCATAAGCACAACAAGAGGTCAGGAATGATACAGCCATGACAAGCAGGATTTTAAAAATGGGACCTCTCCTGCAATTCAAACAAAGATTAGTATGATAAAAAGTAAAACAACTTGCAACTTAATCTAGCTAGACATATACTCCTATGCTTTCTACAAATTCTCAATTTAAGGTAGTTGCTCTATAGACAATCCAGTTCATGAATTGAGAAATTTCAGGAGCTAATCTTACAGCATATAACAAGACAAAGTTAAGACTACAATTGGTTTATAAAAATTCTAAAGTGAATAAAGTCCACAGGTAAAAACTAATGCAGATAAAATTGATAAGGCCCACATTCTTTGTCAAAATACTAGAATATTCTGGTGGAGATTGTTTACAAGATAGTGATCACGAATATTTTCACAAATTAGTAGATTACACATAGTAAAATAGAATACACGTGTTCTGAAAGTCTTTGATAGTAATTAAGATCGTTTTTCCAGCAAAATCTCATGACTAGAAGCAGGGGCAGAAGAGTATACTCATTGATGATACTGTAGATCCGAAGGACCTTGTCCACAAGGTAATTGTAAAGGCTTCCTAAAATGCCTCCAATGATGCCAAGGAACATAACTGCCAGCAGATCTGCAGTGTCATAAGCCGGCACTGCAGAACTAACATCAAACATTATCAGACCTCCTTGCCCAAAAAGCCCACATTTTCCACTCTGACAAAATTGAATGAGAGATCTCAACACCATAGCTACAATAGCAGTTGTGAAAAAGGTCCTCCAAAGAAGAGCACTCCGCCACCTGAAGGATTTGAGAAAAAGAAAATAGTGAATCTCTTGTATAGGAAGAAATTCAAAAAAACTACAAAGCGCACTCAACCACCTGAAAATCTAAGGAAAAGTTAAATTGTATTTATTACCAACAAAGAACATTAAAAGTGGCCTTGACTTTGAACAAACAAAAATCAAACTTAATATGGTAGTATTTTTATTTATTTTTTGTTCAAACCAGAATCATCATCACTTTTTTCCCCATTTCTTTTAGTCTAAGGCAGATACAAATTTTCTAAGTCAAGACCCAAAGGCCTGTCTACTTCTTTTTGACAGCCACCACGCTCATAAATCATAATGACTCTTTAAGTACCTAATTACTCTGTTACTTCTCCAAGATATCTGAATCAATACAGTAAAGTTGCTAACTAGTCCTTGTACTCCAGTAGAGTTCATAAATATGTTCCTTGTTCTTTTTTAACTTTTTTAGAAGAATTTTTCATCCATCCAGCCATCAAACCAAATAGGTGCATAAACAATGATGACATTTAAACTTGGGAGCCATGATTGACAAAATTCACTCATTATTCTAATCTCATGTGGACATTAAAAGAAATCTTAGACTTTTACCCCAGCGTGTCTTGGCTCTAATTACACAATTGTTTTTTTATTTCGTCGAGAAATGAGTTCAAAGCTACTGGCTGTTGAGAGAGAAAGAGAGAGAGAGAGAGAGACCATGAGGCTGCTTCTTCAAGAGCAAAGAGGACACCACCAACTGGGGCACGGAAAGCAGCTGCCACACCAGCAGCAGCTCCGCAGGTGATTAAATCCCTTCGGTCTCTATCATTTTTGAAGTATCTGAGCCATTTCCAAGTCAAATGATACTTGCGGGAACCTCCTTGTCCAAGTAAGGCAGCTATGCAAGCGCCAGTGTGAACCATGGGTCCTTCCTTGCCCACAACAAATCCAGCAGCAACTCCAAAAATGGATCCAAAAATCTGCCAAATTGGAATTATTTTTTAGTAGTTGGATATTTTAAGATAAGTTCTTACTGATAACAGGAAGCTAATAATAAATTGAAGCCAGCATAAGAAAGAATTTTATATGAAGTTCATTCCTACAGAAACAGAGGAACTACATATATGAAGAAATAAAACAGAGAGAGAGAGAGAGAGAGAGAGAGTATTACTGGAGTTTGTGGCCCACCTTTACGAATAGGGTACTTGGTGCCAATATAGAGTAGGCATCCACACCATTAAGATAAGCTTTCACCTCAGGTATGCCAGATCCAGCTGCTGCAGGGGCAATATAAGCACAGAGGGCTGCAGCACACATTGACAGAACCATGTTGCAACCAGCATACGCTGCAAATGCCTGAAAATACCTGCAGTGAGATCAAAATCTCTTCATAGTTACTTCAAAGTGGTAGAAGCTAATTGTTAAAGATGTATGCCAAGCAGGAAAATTGTTTCAGGGATAAACTTTTTTAGTAGACTACAAGGAGAATCACTGTACCAGGTATTATTTTAGGCAATAAAAGAACAATCCAAGAAGAAAACCAAACTTCCCCAGAAGAAAAAAACCATAATTATAGCATCACCTATAATTATGATAAATCTTGAATTCTTACTCGGGGGTAAGCCAAGGGTGCTAACAATGCACCTAAAATCTGCCACTCCAACGTGGAGTCACAGTACAGGTTGGAAGATCTAGATAGGATTCAATAGGCAATCTCTCCAAATAGTGTGCATTACAGAAGACAAGGAACCACAAAGCTCGTAGCAGTTTGATAGATCAGAGTAAATGAGAAATGAGATTACCCAAAAACTTGTTCCATGATTCAGAAAAGTAAGACATGTCAAGTATAAATGATATCAACATAAATTTCCTGCTTGTGAAGATAAAATTAAGGCCAGCAATTGAGAATGAGGGTTTACAGTGGCATGGGCATTATATTTATACAAGGACATGACATGTGAATATCACAAAAAATTATTCCAAAGTAACACTGAAACATTCTTGCAGAAATATCAAATGAACTTTCTATAAAAGCAAAGAAATAAATCAATAGAGATTGATTCCAATAAGAACCTCAACTGCTTTAGCAGTGAAACTTATGCTTACTTTCGCTGAAACATAAGATCAGTGGTGAGTAGCAACTTAAAGCCAGCAATATTCTCCACCGCGAGGTTATTGAAGAAGGCAACAACACCTGTACTCAATCCTATAAGAAGTGAAAGTGTCCACTTGAGCACGACATACTGAAATATTTGAACCTTACTCCTAGATCTCCAATCCTGCTTAAAGAGGTCGTTTTCAACAATTCTGCAAAAATGTGTTCCAACGTATGAGATATAAAACATTTAATTCTTACCAGGAACCTTTTCCAAACAAAAGTACTACCATGCTTTGACATCGCATACTTTAGTCCGTAAATTGTGATACCATTTCAACTCACAACACAGCATTGTATGAAACGGTTTTGGCTTTAATGAAATCACCAGTAGTCTATCATTTAATTCGGAAAACAGGGTTTATGTCTGTGATGTTTACTAAAGCGGCCCAAAAACTAAACCAAGGCACCACAATTTTGCTGCACTTTTCTGATGTAAATTTCATCAATTTCATGTTTTTGAGTAACTAGAGTAAATGGAGAATTATGATTCAACAGAGAGGAAAATTCATAATGTTGTCCTCTTGTTTCTGAAAATTATCTTCTTAACCCACAATTTAACAAAATTAATATCCAAAACAAGTTTTCAGAAAAGTACTAATATTTCAGACATCTTTCTACTATCTTCTATATATAAATTTTGAGAATTGAATGCCTAATCTTGTAAAACATATAAGCAAATTAAATTATCTTTCTCATACAAATCTAAGAATTGAGTACTTAACTGTGTAAATGTCTATAATATAAAACAGAACAAAATAGACTCTTCCAACCGCCACCTACATCCAATTTTCGCGGGTCATCATACAAATTAACAACAAAACAAGCCACAAACCTCAAACAAATGCCGGCGATCAGCATAACAATATGACCTAAACCATATTAGAAAAAAAGAAGAAGATGTAAATAGACAATTACTAATTACTAATGCTCTTTTTCGTTGGCCTATAAATGTTAAAAACAAACAAATACAGCACAGAAATTTTCTTTTTGTAATTTTCTCGGTAACCAAACAGGGGATAAGAAAACAGTATAAAATCAATGCTGAATCACAGGATTGAAACAACGTACTCGTAATCGAGGCTTTCGATAGGACAAACATTGGCGCCGACAATGGCAATCTGCGACGTCGCGTTGATTCTATTCTTGACCAGAAGAGGCTCTCTGACCGTCCCACTCATTTGTCTATCGCAAGAAAACGACGACGTATTCCTCTCCATCTCCTTCCATTCACACCCCAACCCTTCATTCTCTATATCATTCGCTTCTCTCTGATCCATCCTCTCCTCAATTCTCTCTGTAGTTGCCTACACAATGAAAAACAATCTCTCCGCAGAATTTTTAACAATCCTCTCTCTTTCTCTCTCTAAACTGTAGCTGTCGAACCCTCTCAATACTTTATCTATCTATACATGCAAAGCTCAAAGATCTATCGTCTCCTTCACAATTTTCCCTCTCTCTCTCTCTCTGAATAATGTCTTACACAGTGAAAAACACCCTCTCCACAGAATTTTCAACTTTCCTCTCTCTTTCGAACCTTCTCAATGCTTTCTCTCTCTACACGTAAAGCTATCTTCTCTACCTGTATATACATACAGAAGAACTATATGTACATATGGATTCCGATTCTCGAAGCACAACCCCAGAACTTTAATGGGATTCAAAAAGAAACCTAGTATATAAAAACAAATCTCATAACCAATTGAAGCATATTTTTTAATGAAAAATGAGCTAGAACTGATCTGGGTCCGGTATATAGATATAGTATATAAAAACAAATCTCATAACCAATTGAAGCATATTTTTTAATGAAAAATGAGCTAGAACTGATCTGGGTCCGGTATATAGATATAGATAAAGAAGAGAGAGGGAAGGGAAGCTGAGCTGCGTAAACAATTATGCAGTTCAATTGAATACGCAACCTGTAATATTGAAGAGTCAATGGCATCCATGAAAACTCTGATTTTTCGGGAAAAAAATTTTCTAATTATAATTAGCTGTTTCGAAAAATTAGGATTTTTTTTTTTTTTTACAGCGAATAACAGATTGACAACGTTGGATTGTTCACGTAAAAAGAGATTGTCTGTACGTTGATTGATAACGACGAATTTATGATTGCCCGGAATATAAGCAGCGGCCTCATGTTTAGGATATATATATATATATATATACACACTAAAAGAATCAACTTAGGAGAGACAATTTTTGGGAAACACATGTATAATAGCCTCCTTCAATTGAATTTCGACTCACTTCAACTTTTTTTTTGATAATTACTATACAAGTGAATTTAACATCATCTTTATTAACTACTTTACAATTAATTTTTAATAAAATATATATTTAGTGCGTTAATAAGTTATTTTTTTAATAATATTATCAATGCACCACGTGCGTTTCACGTAAATAAATTTAAATATTTTTTTTATAAATGTATAATTAAATAAAATAATAAATTAGGTGTCGAATAATTAATCTATATTTTAATTATTATTAAATTTAATTTTAATTTTTGAGTACCTAATATGACTATTATTTGCGTATCTCTGCTACCCTTTTAGACATTAACACATTTATTTATATTATAAACTTATTAATTTTTATTTTGTTACATAAATTGATTAGATTACTTATAATATTATTGCATGTCAAATTATAAAATATTATATATATTTGATCGTAAAATTCAATCTGATAACTATATATGTATATAATAATTTAACATGTATAAAAAAAAAAAAATTTGTCTGAACATATATACGACCTAACTTCTTCTTATAAATATATAAAATTGTATATGATTTTATTACTAATAAATGAGTTCAAAAAATTAAAAAGTTCATATAAAAAAATCTAAAATAAATTGAAAGTCAAAAATTAGATTAAAGTGTATAGGTGAGTATAATTAACTTTATTATAATAATTATGAATAAAATTAAAAATTAAAAATTTTTCTCAAACATTTATAAGTAATCTAAATATAGATGTAGATATGAAAAGGACATCGATAGATATAAATTATGATGAGGTGAGGGTACATATGACCGTGGGGTTAGGGGCGGGAGTAAGGGTGACAATAAGGATTGTGATAAAAAGATATTTGTGTATTGCATGATGAGATCGCTAGTAACAAACAAATTTAGTTTTTATCACCTACAACTTTGTATAAATTTTAAACCTTGTTATCTATACTTATTTATATAAAAAAAATTTAAAGTTTGATTTTATCTTTAATTATTATTATAAATTTAATTATACCTACATATTTACTTGCATCTAATTTTTATTTTTTTTATACCTATTTATCTTTCAAATTTGTGTATACTTATTTATTAGTAGTTCATTTACATATAGATCTTTATATCTATATTTATATTTATTTGAAGAAGTAAAGTCCAATTTATATTCTCTTATTATACACTTGTAATTGTCAAATTGCATTCTACGTCAAATACATGTTATATTTAATTTTTTGTATGCAATAATATCATAATATGAAAATACAAACAATAATCAATCTCTTTGAAAAAAAATATAATATTAAATCTATAATATAATTAGATATACAAATATTCAAGAATGGTAATCTTACAATAAAATATTATTATAAGCAAAAGAGAAATATTTAAAAGGGTCGGAGAGATATTTAAAAAATGAAAAATTAAGTACTAAAAAAAGGATAAAATAATTTAATAATTAAAATAAAAATTATTTATTCGACACATAGTTTATGATTCAATTTAATATAAATATAATTTAAATATTTTATAAAAAATTAACATGCAAGTTGCAACACACACAGTAAATTATTAATTAATTAATTAATAAAGGGTGGAAAAAGAGTAAAAAATAAGGAAGGAAAAACAAAAAGAAAAAGAAAAGCGAAGATAGTGAATTTCGTGCATCGTACGGGACGGCGTTAGTAGGTATATATTGAAAACTTGTAGATGGCGTCTTAATTTGAATAACTCATCGCTAATATTTGAAAATTTTTTATTAAAGAATATATTTTGTGCTATAACAATATAAAAATCTGTTAATATATATCCGATGCTATAGTGTTCAATAACATGTCATGAGAGATACACATAAGAGAGTGGGTATACAACACTCATTGTGGATATTAGGATAAGAAGTAGTCAGAGTCCATTAAATTCCCAAATTTCCCCCTTTTCTAACCTAGTTTTGGATGTGATTAGAAATAGAGTAATATTACATTGACTAAATTTTGGGACTAAATCAAGAGTTTAAATGATATGACAGTTGATTTGAGCTTCTTTATTTGGTGTTATATCATTTGGACCCCAATAAATATTTCAAATAATATGTTCTCATGTCATTTGGGTTCCAAATTTGATCAATGTAGCATTACTGTTAAAGATATGAGTTTTTTTGTTGGTTTTTAAACTATATCACATTATCTTCAAAAAAAAAAAAACCTATATCACATTAATCTTAGTATCTTTGCTTGTGGTAGTAATCTTTGGCTCGTTTGGTTGTCGTATTATAAATGGATGGATTAGATAAAATAATCCGGTCTAATACAATACAGTAGGACAAAAGACAAGACTAAATATGATATTAGAATAATAAATAATTTTATTTAGCGTTTGATAATACACAACATAAACGTTGGATAGTAATTATTTAATTCAATTGGTTGTTTGGTTAAGAAATTATTTTATCGTATTAATGTTCAATTAACAAAAATATCCTCAATCAATGTTTGTTACATTGATGACAGTTTGATTTTATTAGTTAGATGGTTATAATGGTAAATGTGCAAAATAATACGTTTGAATTGGATTATAATACCACCTCTTTTGGTGGTATTAAAATACCTTCATAATACAGGTCTAACGTATAAAAAATATACGATAAGGATATGATAAATATACATTTTTAAAATTAATACGGTGTCAAATTTACTTACCAAACAAAGTATTAGGTCCGATTAAATAAAAAATAATATAATTTAATATTTAATCTCCTCATAATGCGTCTACCAAATGACCCCTTTATGAATAAAATATTGTTGAAAGGGACTTAATGTCCAGTTTGTCCTTGGTGGTACTGTGGTGACAAGCTTGGTCATCCCAAGAAAATAATTATGGCTTAAATCAAATATTCTATAGTGGATAAGAATATTAAGATAACCTTACGAGAGTTTGTTATGCTTGATCGCCACTGTCTGCTCTTGTAAACATAAAAAAACATTGACCTTATGCTCTGTTTGGTAGAAATGATGAAAAATAAGAGGGAAACATTTTCTGTCCTTCAAGGATAAAAAGTAGGAATGATACACTTTATTTCCTTTGTGTTTGATTGGATGGATGAAATATAAAAATAACAAAATTTTTTTAAATTTTTTTTTGTGTTGGCTAAGATTAGGGGTGACAATCGAGTTATGTCGTGTCATATTCGTGTTGAGTTATAAAATTATGAGCCTTTTATATTTCTTACTCGCGTGTTAGGTCATTTTCAAATACGTGTCGAGTTATAATCAACTTCGAATCGTGTCATTGTATCAAGTTGAAAATTTTCATCCCTAGTTAATATGAATTTTTTTTTAATTTAAATTTTTTTAAAATTAATCCATACACTTTTCCGTCCTTCCTATTTTTTTTCCTTACCAAATATGATATTTTATTTATCTCTCTAACTTTCCATCCTTCTAACTTTCTATCATTCTATTTTTTTATCATACCAAACGTAACATTAATATCACTACAATAGACTCATTTCGTCTCTCAACTATGATCCAAAAAGGCTACAAATAATAACACAAAATAATAAATTATTATCACTTGTATAAATTAAATTAGAATAAATTGTTTAATTTAATTTTTTTTTTTGAGAGAAAATAGGTGCCACACGAGGACTTCCAACTCAAATCAAACACCGTTTTATTATCAACACAAGGATAAGACTGCCTTGCCAAAATTCAATCGCAGACCTTGACATTAGTTTTAAATTATTTGCAATCATTTATTGACATTTAATAAAATTAGAAAAATTATACAAGTTATAATTTTATTAAATAAAAATAAAGATATAATATCAAAAAACTAGACATAACCCATGTCTGAAGTCACAATAAAATATAAAATTCGAGCGTCAAAAAAATCGATTCCATTATATTAAATTTTTTTAAAATATATTAACTATAAATTAATTAAATATTAAATAATTAATATATGATAAAAATGATTGGTGTGATATTTTTAGAGAGGAAATATATAAATGATTAAATATGTGATAAAAATAAATGATGTGATTTGACGTTTGAGTCTGACAAAGGGATGATGGGTGAAATAAGTAATTAATGATGATTTTGAGAAAAAAAATATAACTGATATAAAATTTAATACACTTCTGTTTTATTATATTAATATTTTTTTCCTTGGGGACCTCAGTAATTTGGGTCGTTGGCATGGAGAGAGAAGGGAACGTTTTTGGAGTCATACACGATGGAATCATGAAAGAGATGCCTTCTAAAGATGCCACAAGTATAACGTGCGGGGTCATGGGCTAGGCTTCTGTCAACCACTTCCTTTTTATGCAGTTGTCTTATGGTGTACAATTCAAGACAGGTGAAATACCTATATCAATATATCTATAGACTATATCTATATTTATGTATATATATTAAATTAGGGATAATTTGTAATTAAAGACACAGTATAATATAAGTGAGAAGTGATAAATTTAGAAGAAGAAAATTAAATATGAATGATTTTGAGAGAAATGCTGGTGGTTGGATGAGTCTATTTGAGACCGTTGAATAGATTTATTGAAGAATATCCCGTTTCATATTATAAACTAATCGTTAGCATTGTGAATTTTTTTTTCTTATCTT